GCTGAAGGCCGCCCCCCCCCCCCCCCCCCGCTAAAATTTGGGAAGAAAAATTAATTTAGCACCATTTTTAAGTCAATTTTTTATTTACAAAATTTAATACTATCCCGGTTTTGAACTGCAAAAAATATTTCAGAACTACACATACCAGTGAAAACTGCATATTAAATTTTAAAATAAGCCATGGCTCTACTAAGGTTTATTATACTACAGCCTTGAAATGCAATGCTTCTACTAAGGATATGTTTGGGATGGAATCCTAAGGTATTCTTACTTTAAGGTGTCGCAATGAATTAGAACCAGCCTCTGAGTTGAGAGGAAGAACAATGCAAAAATGTCTCCCTTATAGATTGATCCGACTTCGAGGAGGGGGATTTGTGGAGCACTGGAAATCAGACCTCGTCTTTCGGGCCGGCTTCAACGACACTAAAATTCCATCCGCATCAGGTGGAGGGAATTCGGAACGACCGATAAGAATCGCAGACCTTCAAGGCGCTTTCTATGTTCTTTTCATTGGATGCACTCTCTCTTGTCTTTCTTTCCTTGGTGAATTTTTCTTTGCAAGGTATAGGAGTTCCAAGGAGAAAATGATCGATTTCACAGTCCAATAATCATGTCCACTAAACAATGACATTCTGTAGCTAGTACTTGACTTATTCAGCAACTTTTTGAAAATCATTATTTTAGGCAGTTAATTTAGAGTGTACACAATGGGAGCAGAGATAATTCCCCTATCTTCTAGAAGTGATTTCGATTGTAGGTTATATGACATTCCTCCAGGGGGGTTGCAAAATAAATAACTCAAGATTATACACTCTTCATCTCTCCTTTACCCTCTGTAAAATTTCACCGTATCTAGAGACAGTTCATCTCTTGTTCCTGAACTTGATCAAGATAGTGACTTGGCATTCAGAAGCTGTTATTGAGATCATTAGAGGTCTGTATTTCAGTCCTTTTAACATTCAACTACATAACCAGGTCACCATGCCAGGAAAAAAAAAACGAACACGATTAGCAATGAGAATTTTTTGGTGGAAAGTAGGTCAATCATGGATGCAAGACATCATCTTTTAGACGACTCTTCATCTTCCAGGTCTTGCTCATCACTTTCCTCTTCCATATTTGCATCCATTGGACCATACTTGGGACTCCAACCGGTTTCAAAGCTCGCCGGATCGTACTCGACATTCACGAGGTAAAGGCCACCAGGTGGGGCAGTAATAATGCTGGAAGGCCAGGCGTCAGAGGATGCCACGTCAATCAAAGCCTTTACATCCTCTTCTCCTATTTTTCCCTTCCCTACTGCCACAAGGGTTCCAACCATGCGGCGCACCTGCAAACATTCAGAAAACGTAGGCTTCAAATAATGGGCATTTATCTTTTTCATGCAGCAGGTTACTTAAACAGTCTGATTTTATGTTTATGATAAATCAAAGGGACACAGAGGGTGCCATCTACAGTATAAACTGCACCTTTGTCCTTTCACATCGGATACAAAAATATTTATAGGGATTTTCCCAGAAATGCCTCATGACCATAGGAATCATTCAATGATCTGTCATTACAAGTGCATACACCTCCTGTCTTGCTGAAGTAAACTTGTTCTACATGCCTGCCATTTTTCTGAAGTTCCTAAAGCCTGTGTTCTTTGGAGCAAGGGATAGCTGAACCACATGAAGTCAGTGAATTGGTCATGATGAAAGAATGCAAAATTGCAGCATATTCTCCATCAATAATTATTAAACTTTCCTCCTACCGCCCAATTTTGTGGCAAACTGCAATAGACTAGATGGACCAAATTTTTTTTAAAATGTATTCTAAATATTATCCGATTGAAGCCATAGGGGATCTGACAAACAGGACAAGGCTCACATTAACTCTGAGGGGGAAAAGGTGAGCATAACACGACACTGGCATGTTCATTCCAATTGGGAGAAAATTATTAATTTGTAAATGCACCGAAAAATATTTAAAGGGTTGAGTACTCCCCCATAAATTTATTTACCATCCAGGAGCATGGAAAGAGACAGGGAAGGTGACAGATGAATAAATGCAAAATATAAAATTCCTAATTCAAAGCATAACGATAATTATCACATTTAATTTTGAGCGAACATGAAAGGATTCCGAAGTGCTCTGCCTAAGCAAGGAGTTTCCATTTCTGATCTGGAAGTGTGGATAAAAAATTGTCTATGGCAGTTATTAAGAACGACTTGGAACTCAATTTCACTACAGAGTAGGTTTACTTTCAGCCCAGTTACGTCACTGAACACTGGTGCAGAGCAACAGAATAACAATTCACTGTATTAGTAAACAGTAGCGTGCCCAGAAAATCCCAAAGGGGGGGGGGGGGGACTTGACATACGAAAAATTGGCAAGCTACCCTGCCAAATGAAAAAATGTTTGAGAATCAAACCTGTAAAATGTATCCTAAGTGGAATATGATCCCCACAACCCCCACCCTCCCCCTGGGCACACCACTGAAGAGTTGGAAAGCTATATGATGGGGCATGACCAATGGGCAAAATAAATGAAATAATAGTTAACAGAATAACGGCCATCTGGCAGATCCACAATGAAGGAGAGTGAATAGTGAATCACAGCACAAGACAGAATCATAAATTCAAAGACTTCCTGTATTTCCATTGCTGGCTTGCTTTCCAAAGTCTATGACTAATCAGTATGCTATTGTTCCATAGAAAACGGTGAAGTCTTTTATGTCCATGCTATTATTCTGTTAGGAAACCCAGGCTACTGGAAGCTTGCAGGAACACTTCTGGTGGAGAAAACAATTTGTTAAACCTTGTGTTAAACTAGAACTCCTGGAAACTTCAAAGTGAAGGGCTATAAGGATACAGATTCTACTTGAGAAAGGAAAAATAATGAAGTGGTGGTTGGGGGCCTCTTGATTCGAATATTTGTGGCATGGCAGTGGCGCCAAAGAAGCATTGACATCGTGAACAAAGTTTGTGCAGATCTTAGTTATTTAGAGCCTTGCCTTCTTGGGCTTGTGGAGTCGAAACAAATTTTAGGCTCTCATGACAAAGATACTAAACCGCTTCCTGATTGCTTCCCTCTAGGATTTCAAGGTCTCTAAGAGTCCTGCTTGGATTTCTCATAGGAGGGCATATCAATTACCTGCTTGTAGAGGAAACCCGTTGCCTTAACCTTGACGTTCCAGTAATCGCAAGTGTCATAGAACGGGTCCATTGGAGTGACGAGAAATGGCTGCCCGGGTGAAAGGCTCACTTCATGGATCATCCTCACTGTGCCCTTCTTCCCATAAATCTGAATCTCTTTCCTAGATTGTTTCTTCATGAATGTCGCATAGTCCTTTTCTCCATGAAAGAGATGTAGGCAGGCTCGCATCCGTTCCACATCTAATGGCCCTCTTTAGTCAGAAAAGAAGCAGTCAATGAATGAAATGCAGCGTTTCCATGCGAATGGAGAAGAACTGTATTCAGAAGCACTTCATGTATTCAACTTGCATTCAAAAGCACATCGCGAAGTAGTGATTGACTCGAAAGAAAAATCAGCTGGACTCACGGGATGCAATAGGAGCGATTGTGTTCTGTCATTGGGATTGGCACTGAATTCCTGTGCCCAAACTCTTCTGATCTTGTCAGGAATTCCTCTTTCATTACGGCCAGGCGGTAAACGTAAGTGCGAGACTTTGCACAGTGTCTTGCATGAAAACGTGGGCACACTTTCTGGATTTTTTGAATCCTGCAAAATGTTACTTTTCTTGGTCAGCATTTCTTTCCTTTCTTCAGAAAAATCAATACCTTGAATTGAAACACCAAAAATGACTTGGTAAACACCAGATGAAATGGAATTGACACTATTATACCTGATTTGTCTAACGACGCTGTCAAAGTACTTGTTCAGGGAGAAGGTGATGATATCGGGGTGGACTTCATGCTCGGGATTTGCCTTTTCCAAATCGAAGTGTCCCGTACTGCATAATGCGTGGACTCCTTGGTCAGTTCTGGAATTGATATATTTGAAATGTCTTAGCAGGTTCAAGACTTAGAATGCGTTAACACGCTTTCAGTAACTCCCTAACTCCACTTCCGGGGTGGATGACGAAGTTAAGTCAGTTAAGTTTTGTATAATTGGTGTCTCCGCAAACTTTGGCTATCCTACCCTTATTTGTATGAATTTTATAGGGATTTAAATGGGCAGTTGCATATTTACAGAAAAACAGGAAGGAAACGCAAAAGAATGAATGAACTCGTTTTTCATTCATCGAGATTTGCTTGAACCATCTCCTGGCAGAGAGGAAAGAGCGGATTTTCGATCGCGGTCAAGCAACTGAGTTGGGGATGGCCCTTCACGAGTACTGTTTGTTCATTCTTCAAGAATAGGAACATCATGCCCTTATCGTCATAACCCCTAAAAATAAAGTAACCAATCGTTCCTGAAAGCGCCATCATACACTCCTATCTGTCTGGAATTGAGTAGCATCATAATGTAAAAGGCCAAGCCATTGCTTTCATGATATGGGCAGCCACATTTCACCCTCCTTAAGATATACGTATCTTACGAGTCTAACATCCAGCAGGCCAGTCTCATTTCACCTTCCTCGTGTCGCTTTTGAATTCCGCGCAGAGGAAAGTCGAACTCGAATTTCCATGTCGCACTTTACTCTCATGCAACTTTATTTGACTTAGTAAACTTTCGATTGACAGCTTTCAATATTCATTATTTGACATCGAAGGTTGCCGATCAGATTAACTGTAATAGTAGCTTCATATCCTAATTCATCGATCAAATGCATATGCATAAATACAATTTGAGGGGGGTTCAGGGGGTCTGAACTCCCCCCTCCCCCCAAACCCTGCTCGTGGTAGTACCTTTATGCTCCTCCATCCCCCTCTCTCCTGGGGGTGGGGGAATGCGTACGTGAGGAGATGTAGGGTGACCCATTTCAAAAGTTTACTTATGAATGGACATGTAAAACAGAAACCAATGGATGGAAGAAAGTGAAACTTGGCCTGTATACTACTGGCAGCATGGGCTTCTCGAATCCATGAATAAAAAAGTGTCAACAGATGACATTATCAGCGCATAATTTGCACATCACATGGTGCACGAACGGCATAAAAGGTCTGTACGTAACTGCAGAATGTGGAAAATCAACATGCCAGCACTCGCTACAAGAATCCAACCAATACAGAATTTTTACGAAAATGGAAATTATGTTACTTTTGGTGATAATGATGATGCAGGACCCATCTGGGCAATATTTAATATAAAATGGAAGGAAACAAAGTACCACTCACGTCTGGGTTGGTTTTAAGATATTCTCCCCATGCATTACATTTTGTACCACCTGCATACAACCATTTGAAGGAAATAAACTTGAAGAGGTCCAATTCAAGATTAATTGCTTATGTCTTGAGGGCCACTAGTCCTACTAGTACTTTTAGTAATAATGAAATATGTGGATTGACGCCTCCATTTTGCCTCACAAGTGAATACATCCACGGTGCCAAGTATGAATTGCAATCAAAGCAACAGTCTTTTGCACGCAATCTTATAGACGAAGACTACAGCTAGCTGATGCCAGGAATTCATACCTGCTAGAAGCGTAGAAATGGGGTTCATTTACAGGTTGAAGTCGCAACAGCCCCTGTTCCATTAGTCCTTGAACCGAATTATAGTCTGGAGCAGACATGCCTGGCTTAACTTTGGGAATGCCTCTATGAAGAGAATGAAAAAAAAAGTAAGCAGTGTCGATGAGTGATAAAGTCGGCTATACCTGAATAACTCGGGGATCTCACCTGAGATAGGTTCCAATGTACCCAAAATAAGCCAGGTAACGGACCATGGTTGCTGGCTGATTTTGAACCCTCGTTACTGCGTTTCATGTGCTATATTCCATACCTATCTTGGAAACAATATCTCAAAGCCCAGAAGGCCAACGTTTGGATGTGGCTCGTAAATCAGTTGGATGTTAGTATTGTAGCAGCATGTGCAAAACCACACATCTGACAGTAACTTTACCTGAATCAGGAAATCATATCTAGGAGCAAGACACGGATTGATCGGGAACTCACATAATGCACTTGACAAATATAAACAGGTGTAGGTCAGCAAAGAGTTAATAAAAACAGAGGCGGCCTTAGACATGTGCCCCCGCACAGGGTGCATATTCATTAGGGACGCCAAATCGTGAGTGAATATATGAAGCAATAATAGAAGTCACCCTCAGTTTTACTCTAGAAAGAGGAAATGCCTTCCGTTTCGGGGCTATTCTGAACGTTAGAGATTGACCCTTCTCCCTTCTGGGAGGGGCGTTCGGAGCCTCTTTGCGCTGGGTGCCGAAATAGCTAGGGCCGGCCCTGAATAAAAATCAAAGTGTCTCACTTAGTAAGAACCAAGGTGGAGCCTGCCACCCATCCTATTGCATTACTGCGAACTTTTAGTAAGGCAGCACATTTACTTTATGATTGACAATTGCAAATTAGAGGGGTTTTAGATAGATAGTCCACAGGTAAACTAAACATGTTAGGCAATGCTTAAAAAAAAAATACATAATACGTCAGAATGCAAATCCTTGGAAAGATGAGGCTAGAAAAAAATGCAAAAATTTTTATCGTAATTTTGGGAAACCATTAGATAGGCTGTTTGACTTCATTTGCTGGTTTCTGCAGGGTCCCATAGCTAAAGGATGATGCTTGGTTTCTTGAACCAGCGGATTTTAACATTTTCACCTAACATTTCAATGTCTGCAAGTGAAGTCAGATATCGTAAAAATCATTTAGGCTCTTTTCCTTCTCAATGAAGTCTGTTTCACCTCTCTTCAATGACAGAGAGGTCATGCTCATTAGTATTTAAAATGAAATTCACTCAACTGAAACTTCAAAAAAGTCCCATTGCTGATAGAGATTTTTGCTAGTTACACAAAACATGGAAAATTTGAGCTGACCTTTTCAGAGAGATCTCAGCCTAGATGCTTCCTAGGCCAGGTTTTTTAGCATAATTTTGGCAGAACAATCATTGAGCAATAACAAAGACAGGACTGAAAAATTTAGTTTATGAATTGGGAAAAATAATTATGGCTGTACCCCATGGATCCAAGAGGCACTTCTTGTGCTAGGTAACACAGCTGCTACTTGTTCCATATTCTATATGATGCTCCCAAAGCAGTTCTACACAATTGTACTCCAGAAGGAAAAGAAAGCCTACAGCCCTATAGTGACATGGTTCTTTTTCTGTTGTCAATTTTTTATCAGGTCAACATGCCAAACTCAAAAACAAGCTGTAACAATTACATAAGTGTCTGAGAAATTGAGAACTCATGAAGGAGCCTTTATTTATCTGTCAGACAAAAATTGCATCAAAATGTAAGATATGACAATATGACCAAACAGGCTTATGGGTGATGACAGAATTGGGAAACAATGAAGAGATCAGCATCAGTGTACCATATTTTTAAAGAATTATGTCATTCAGATTCAGCATCATCTTGAAGAAAGATCATTTAGAACAAATACCCAGAAAATGCAACCATGCCAAAAGAGCAATATCAAAACAAAAATCACTTTTTCTTCTTTTTTCCTTTCTTCCCAGCTACTGCTCCCTTCAATTTTGAATTTTTAGAAGGTTTGGGAACTTGAGGACTTGATTCAGCTGATGAGCTATTTGAGGCATCTTCACTGTCACTGCTGTCAGTGCTGCTGTCAGAACTTGAGGATGAACTATCCTCTGAGCTAGAATCACTGGAAGAACTGCTAGTGTCACTGCTGCTGCTGCTACTGCTTGTACTGCTACTGCTGTCACTGCTGGAAGACTCTTCATCACTGCTGCTGCTATCACTACTACTGCTGCTGGAAGGTTCTTTCTCCTTCAGACTTTTCTCTTTTGCCTTTTTCAACTCAAGTAGCTTCTCCACCTTCTGGTCTTCTTCTTCAACTTTCAATCGTTTCCTGAGCTGGGCAGTGCGTGAAGAGCGGTGCACATACTTACGCTTATTTTTGCATTCATAGGTCCAGTGCCCCATTTCCAAACATTTCTGGCATCTGACATTCTCAGAGGAGGGTATAGCTTTCCTTGGCAAGGCCACCATTATGAACAAGAATCTACTAATGGAATCACACCTGAATGAGGAGAATGATCAAACCCATGACTGGGGGGAAGAGGCAATAAAAAAAGCAGGTGATTCAAATAACTACTTTGAAAATAACCAAGTTAGAGGAAAATGAGCATAAGCAAGGCCTTAGCTTTGTGCAATTTCTGCAATTTCAAATTAGAAAATTAGATGGTAGTCCCACAGAAATATTTTACATGTAAGCTTCCAGTGATTTTGACACAAAGACTATTGACTAAAATTACGATGTATTGGTACTAATACAGGCTTATAGCTGCAAAATGAAATGCATGCTCATAAATCCTATACAATTCAAGTCATAACAGACAAGACCCATCTTTGTTCTTTGGAACAAGATATGATTATCATTGAATGGGAGACTTGTGTATTTCATGCAAGTATTACATAATTCTGCACCAATTGAATTATGCACACCAACTTACTATATCAGTTCCAAAAACTCAGAATGCTCAATCCCCACATGGGAACTCATTTCATGCTATTGTCATTCTTGCTCTCAATATTACTTCCATTTCCTAATACTTGACCAATAGCAGCAGTCCAAAAGTTAACCAGATTCTAGTATTGACAGGTTGATGTGGACTGTACCCCACCTTAACCAAATTGCAACTGCTTTAAATTTAGTTGTTCATAGGGACACCCCATAAAAGGGGCAATTGAAAAGTTTTTGGACTTTATGGCTGTGGGGATAATAGGTGAAATTTTTTTAATTTAGAGCAAATCTCATTATTTGAAATTTTCACACCCTTCCTCTTCAAGGTCACTTTTACATACTAATGGCACTCTTAGAATTTTTGGTGAAGGGTGAAAAGGCCTTTAAAATTTTGAAAAACTTAAAAAAATCCACATGGAAGATGTTTTGCTTTGTGGTACAACATTTAAACAAGTTATTTCTCAGAGAGAGACTCCCTTCCTGTGGACTGCCAATTTGGGAAACCCTCAACAACTTCCTTGCCCCAAATTTTCAAAGTTATTGTAAACTTAATAATTATCATTACTAGCACTACAAGGAAGATGTTATGGACATGCTCAGTTGAGATATTGACAAATTCAAAAATGTTCTTTGGCACCAATCAACAATCAGGCAGGATCAAATATGGGCCAACTGGAAAACTTGAAGCATAGAAACTGCCAAGGGTCTCCCAAGTAGGTGGGTCTTTGACAGTGTCCCTCCCATCCCCCCCAAAAAAACACTTTCCCAAACAAACTGCACTGCAAAGCATGAATTCTTCCCTATTAATGTCTCCTATGGTCACAACTTGCCCTTTTCACACTTTTTAACCAAAAACTCCACCACCTCACTTGGCTCTGACCTGAGCCTCCATCATTGTACAAACATGACCTAAAATAAATTTAAAAAAAAGAGGAAATTATAAGTTATGAGATATGCATGCAAAAAATTACACAAATCATCCCCAGAGCAAGCTATCTCAATCATAAAATTTTCCAACTCCAAGAGCAAATAATGATAAAGGAAAAAGTCCAGGAACTATTCAATTACCATGCATTGATTTTACCCGACACTTTTTAATGCAGGTCTGCCCAATTAGATGGCATTTGTTCAATCAATCAGTCTTATCCCCCAGAAAAATTGCAGAAATGCAGCCATGCTCTTTGATTACCAACTGGATTTCTTATCTGCAATGAATTACTATATTTTCCTCTCCTTTAATATACCATGCATATCAAAATAGACTTTGAAAGAAAGGTCTTCTTAACCCAGACCAAAACTGGATGGGCTCATCAGAATATGGTATTAATGACTCATCAACATAAAGTATTCTGAACATCTTTTAAACTTACATAGACCACTAACATTGTCTATATATTTGCTTTCAAGGCAGAGGTAAGGGCATCAAATAAGGCAAGACTGGGGCAGTTGAAAAAGTACTTTACCTCCAGTCTTCTATCTACTATTGAACATATGCAGGTACCAAAAGTATGCTGAATTATTTTAAAAAATTCATTTTTGATCACTCTCAAGTCTATGATTCATTTCACTTTTCCAGATTCATCTGGATTTCTGGTCACTGTATAGCATCTAGTTCAAGTCAACACATCAAGTAATTGTTCCTCACTTCCTAAACCATTTGGAAAATGGCAATACTAAGTCATACATTTCCTTACAACATCCAATAACCATCATCTTCTAAGTGGTAATAGGAACAAGGTGAGCATCAAACTTTATACTCAAGAAGGTAAGGAGAGGTCAGCTCAATGTAGATAAGAGTGTGTGGAGGTTATAAGGTCCAGACAAAGAAGCATTTTGCTTCTCCATGATGAGTTGATGAAGCCGGTCAAATCTCTTGCCTTTTCTCCTCTTCTTCCCAGAGTTACCCGACAAAGGAGCTAACTGGCTCCCCTTTGGACTCGAATAGTTCCTTGAACCAATTCCATTTGGGGAAGAAATTAACTTTTTCTTCTTCATGAGCATCAGATCTTGCTGACTAAACTTCTTTCCATGTAATTGCTTCATTTTGGCTGAAAGGGAGGAATCAGGGATAACATCAATCTGGAAGTCCACCTTAGTTTTCTCTGGTTTGAGCAATCCCAGGGTGGTTTTACGCTTGCAAGTTCGGCACTTCCAGATTTGGGTATTTGTGCAGTGGGAGCGTTGACTAGTCCGCAACCATAAGGAGCCCTTGCGGGCAGAAATTTTTCTCCCTATCACTTTTGTAGAAGACTTCAGTGATGGCACCACTTTGCACTTGAATTTCCCTTTTATCCATGGTTGTCCACAGAATCGGCAGACAGACAAGTGACTCAAAACATTGGCAGGGAGCTGTTCTGTTGAATTCCGAGACACATCCAGACAGTGTCCCATTAGGTAATGAGAGAAATCATCTGGTAAGTGACATTGAACACAAGCTTTCCATAGAAATGCCAGCTTGCTCGATTCTGCTTCAATTATCTCCTTTTGCTCCATTTCTGAAAATGCAAAGACCTATTGCCTATATATACTGAAAAAACGGAGCTTAGTAATACGCAATTACAGACGGAAACTCAAGTTGACATTGAAACTAACGGTGCACACCAGCAACCACTTGGGCAGTTGAAAATATTTCTCAAGTAGTGTAGGCAGCAACAAAAAATCAATGTCGGCGCATGCCGAAGCCTACAGAACAGCCTAAAGCAAGCCTGAACTTCAGTCACGTTAAAAGAATGAACCACACACTGGAGACGACGAATGATTTTACACAGTTTTAAATCAATGAAACTTCAAAAGCTTTCTTTTATAATGTGCACCAAACCCACCTAACTTAATGGTTACTTGGCGTAGCTGTAGTGAAACTGGTAGATATCACTCCGCGCCAACACAACGACCAACGACTTGAAGCATTCGTAAGACCACCTGACCACTGATTGCTTTAGAGATGAACGAAATGTTTTCACAAAATGAAACTCAAGTAAAGAAACTTCGAACTCAACGCGTAAGCATTCCGGCCGCAGCGACTGACTAAAGAAGCCATCGTAGGAAGTGCTGTTAGACAGTGAATGGGGCATGATTTTTGGCATCAAGTGAACTCCTCCCCTATGACTATAGCAGCAATGTAATTTTATCTTATAGAAATATTATCAATGATCTCATCAGTAACGAGAATGGGAAATTCCGTGATGCACATGTCGTCTTTTCTCTCACATGCTAGTGTACACTGTAGGATGATAATTCAGAGTTAGAGGCGAGTTGTTGTATTTCATGATGGCGTCCTACATGGGGACGGACGGGATGCCAGTGATTCATGTTCAATTGCGTAGCTATAAAGAGTCTGGCCTATACTTTGGGTCCTCATGTTATCACAGTAGATCATGATGGCTCCTAGACTGGTGGGGGATTATGCTCAGAGTCTTTGTTGGGGTTGTCTATACATGGGCAGGCCTCATTCCACGGACTTGTCGCCCGGGTCTCACCAAACAAACGCTACTTTTTCGAAAGTGTTTCTGTTTAATGACTGGTGCAGATGTCCTACTAGCCCCATAAGTATGGTTTCTGTACCTGCCACTGCGGGAATAAATCTATTCTCATTGCTCCTAAAGCTAATAATCTTACGTGTATGGGTAGGCCTAACGCTACTGGCGCAATACGATCATAACTAAAAAACATTAAATAACTAATTGAATCTCCAGTGTCCAATGCCTGAGGCATGCACCTGCCTCTTCCAACTTTTGTGAGGTATTGCATGTTGCAAGAGTTCCCATTACTTTGGGAATCCACCTTGCCACTGAAGGAAACATCTACTTCTTGAATAGTCAGGTTTTACCCTTGTTACCACATACACCATACTAAGAAGAAACTTAGCACTCTCTGAGCTTGAGTGAATATTGTCCCATCTTTCCTTGTTCATTGCTTGAAATTATGTGTAGTAATCATGACAATGGTATTCCTACGTTATGCGCACACCCCTATGCACACTGCATGCGTGCACACTGCATGCGTGCACACTGCATGCGTGCACACTGCATGCTTCCGAGACCGAAAGAAACATCAGTCAACATCATTAACCAGTAAAGTAGACTGTACCCTAGCCCCTCACACCGTGAGGTGACGCCCATCAGTTGATGATAGAAGCAAATCCTTAAGGGGCCGCCTTTCTTTCAGTCCATGGCCCCCTCTCCAGGAGGCATGAGAGGCCATCTTCATTCACGTGGCTTCACTTCGCTCTCACATTATCTCAGAAGTTTCTGCGACCTTAGTGTAGTATATTTTCCGTCCAAATGAAGTTGGCATGACACAAGTATAGGTCTTTTATGAGAAAAAGTGGAAGTCTTAGAGTCTGGCATAATGAAATGAAAACAAAAGAAAACGAAAATGTCAAATGGTCTTGTCATCTTCTATTGTACGTCTCTCCTCACTGTGGGTATTGTAGCTTGATCTCATTTAGGAGATCCATGAATGGTCTTTTCTTGTGGATGGTTCTCCACCATCCTTCAGAAAGATGGCCTTGCAGCATCTGCTGTGTGGTTCCCCGCCCCCTCTTCACTATTCGCTGTTTCATGCAATTTCCTTATGGTTGGAAGGTTTCTTAGTTCCCCTTGATTTAGGATATAATACATAATGACTTATTTAGGAGTTTCAGTTGGGCAATTGGGGAGAGATGGAGGGGATCGTTCCATCTACTACCTCTCCGCCAGTTTTTTTTTTTTTTTGGAATGGTGTATTTATTTATTATTTATAAAAAAAAGTACACCAACACTATGCTGACTTTAGGTTAAAGCCCAAAGAGATGTGCAATTCATTATTCATGTTAATTTGAATCATTGGATGTTGCCAATGGAAATGAACACGTCAATAAATATTTGAGTAGCCTCGTCTAGATGATTATGTTCATTTAGTCTTATATTGGAGGAATAGCCAGAAATATCTTGGTCATGTGTTTCAGAGAAAAAGCAAAGTTTCGAGTCCTGCTACTCTGCTTAAATCCACTTTCCTTAAGCATCTTCCCAAGGCTATGAAGGAATGTCAATATTTTTCAATAAAATATAAAATGTAATTCATTTTAGACTACAACTACAAGGTAATAAAGTTTTTATTTATTTATTAAAACCCCATGACCTGCTGCACCTCCCCTTGGACCCTCTTGCTAATGGTCACATCCTCCAGTGTGAGAACTGCTGTTCTAGGCATTCAATATTTCTGTTCCTTTTTAAGTATTTTTGCTTAGGACTAGGTCCTTCTATGAATTTTTAAATGCATTATCATATTCATTTTCTTCACTTCCATGGGGGATATATCACTAGGTCATCTATATCCATGGAACCTTATTGACTGGCCTGTGTACCTGTTGAAAATAAGGAGTTCCAACCATGGTGAACTTCTTTGGTGGACTTCCATGTAATCAGTGTGAGAGGAATGCTTAAATGAGTATAGGCTAAATTGACTTTGACCATGGCATCCCAATCTCAGGAAAAGAGACCCATCAAACGTTCTCGACTTGGACCTCCTGATCTTTACCCCCAAGATCCTCATCAAAAAGAGGTATGTACTAAGTTCAATATCATCTGTCATTCCATAGTTGAAGAAATTTTCTCTAGCATCAAATGGTATAATTAAAATGTTGTTTGTTGGTCCAGCTCAGACATATTAAATTATTTCTTTGATTTTTTTAAATTGCTAATCTTGGATTTTGTATGTACTGAAGTATTGAATGGATGACCAACAATATTGTAATTTCTAGCATCTTTTGAATTGACCCCTAGGTATCACTATGATCACCACCTTTGATGCTTCAGTTTGGTTTTAAAAATATAGGAGGCCTAATGTCATTTTGGTCATTGGTGCTGATGCAATAAGACAAAAAGGAAACCACAGTTTCAGAGAAAATGATTATGCTAAAGGTAGATGAATTCAGGATAAGAATGGAAGAAACTGAATAAAGAGTTTTGTTTCATTCTGAATAACTTTGATGAGTTTGGAGCAGGGCTGGTGCCAGTTCTTAGTGTGCCCTAAATAGATACCTGATGTGGCCCTTCTATGCTCCCCATTCACTCTTTGCACTCTGTTGTCAAGTGTGGTTCAACAATGTCCATAGTGTTGCGAGAATAACAGAGTGCAGAGGGTTAATCTTGATTGGTAGGGATGTAGGTGCAGGGAGGAAGAAGTACCTAGGAAGGGTGCTAAGATTATATAGATTCCTGTCAGACACTGACTGACCATGATCCCACTTTATAGATAAAATAAAAGCATAACATTCTGGCATAGTCTCACCTTATGCAAGGTGGGATCTCAGAAATTTTGGCCAAAAATGGCTCACAGATTGAGCCATTTAAGCTAGCCTGCATACCTTTTGCAGGGTATCAGAATATTCCCTAAATATATATATATTGGTATACCTGATGGTACACAATGTTCTTTTTGCTTTCATTTAATTAGCTGCCAACACCCATTTACAGCAATATGTGATATGATAATAACCATTTGTTTTATTTTGTCTTAGGATGAATTGACTGGCAGCAATGTGAAGCATGGCTTCAGCTATACACCACAGTTACCTGATGAATATGGTTCAGCTCGCAATCATTCTCTTGCTGCCGCAAAGGTGAGAAATTGAGGAGACAATTATCATCAACTAGGACTTAAATCTGGCTTCTTATTTTTTTAATAACTTACCCACCATGGATTCTGATCGATAAAGTTGTGAGTTGGCTGTATCTTCAATTTTCACTACCGCCTTCTAATTAGAAGTAAATTTCATATGAAAACTTATGGTCCCCTCCACCCTTGTTTGACAATCACACTGCAACAGTTTTCCTTTCTTTGTTGTTGAGGCTGACCTGGTCAAACCTGTTATTCAAGAAGTAAAACAAGAATATCAAAGCTAGGACAGAGGCCTGTTTACTTGGGTGCACTTGATTGATCTACAGCTGCCTGAGATACATGGACCAGTCATGTGCATTGTCCCATCCCTTCCCTTTGATGCACTTTGTGCTCTTCTTAATGTCATATATTTCATAAGCCTGAGTAGCTGATTTCATGTCTTCACTGCTAAATGTATAAAATAATTTTCATGGTCAGCTCAACAAATTGCTCAACTCAGGAAGAATCAGCAGAGATACACTTTTTTTTGTTAAAGCAGTCACTATTTCTCTTCAATTCTTTTGTTCCAAAATCTGCCACTGACATAAGCCTTCTAATGTCATTGTTTCAGATCTCATCCTTCTTCAATGCAATAGTGAATTTGAAGAAGAACATCAATACTTTGAGTGATCCTGGTCGAAAGAGACAGCCTGTAAATCATAAGGACAACTTCTGGCTGGTGACAGCTAGGTCAAAGCAGGCCATTGATGCCTGGTTCAAGGATTTGGCTGATGACAAGCCTCTATATGTTCTTGGCAAGAAGGTGAGGCTATGAAATAATATATGAAGCACAGTTTATCCTGTGGCTATTCCAAATTTTCTGCCTTTTATTTGTGAATCCTTTTGTTATATCTATTTATACAAGTCATATTGGAAAATATTCTTTGTTACACTCTGTAATATTCCTAATTTAGGCCCATGTCATCACCTTTTTCTTTGGCACTGGATGGTGGTTCTTGATTTATTCATGTAGGTGCCCATCTTCAATAAGAAGGAGGATATATTCTTCAAATTGAGTGAATGGGGGGTACCCATGTTGAGAGCTGCATGGTACATAAAAATGACTTCTGCATATGCAACTGCTATATCTGAGGTTCGCACGAAGAAGAGTCGACAGTCAGCTGATCCCACTCAGGGTGAGATGTGATATGAATAACCATTACTGATTTGTGTGCTTCAGATTTTTTAAAATAGAATTTGTTATGATCTCATACTGGGATTTTATGATCTTGAAGCTATTCTGGCTTTAGATAGAGTCTCTTTGCATGCCAATATGAAATTGAAATGGAGCCAAGAGTAATTTAATGGAAGTATTGGATCATCTTCAGTGAATTTTCTTTTGGAAATAAGCTGAGTGGCTCTGCCCTAGCCATTTTATTTTACTTATATAGCGCATGAAGCTCCTTGTTTTTCTAGCTACTTAAATTTTGTGTTTAAATCATATGTGGAATATTATAACATCCCTCATGGATGAATTCTATCTTTCCTTTGCATCACCAATATTTACATATTGTCATTATTAGGGAGCAGATTTTTATGCACTAATTAGTCCTGAAATACCTACATGCATAAGCATGTAAAAATGAAAAAAAAAAAGCATTAAAGTGGGAAAAAATGCAAAAACATTTTTTTTTATGGAAAACGAACCCTTTGGAAGAAGAATTCACTCATCACCCACTGAGTGGAGTAAGGAGAAGCTCAGAGAATAAATCAAGTGCCTACTGGGCATAGTTGGCCTATATTTGTCACTGTCAGCTGTGTAGCCAGGAATTAGCCAAGGACTAGAATTTCCATAACATCTCGGGGGGGGGGGACTTTGCACTCAGCCCCCCCCCACTGTGCCACTGGTCACAGCATATGACTGCTGGATAATTTTCATTGTTTGATCATAAAGAAAATACATTTTCATGGAAAATATTATTTCTTTTCCATGGAAAAGGTGAAATAACCCTAAATATACACATTCTGAGAGAAATGAAAAAATATTTATTTTTATGAGTCTTTGTCAATATGTCAGAAATCGCATCCTCTACCAAGAAGACATGATCCTACGAGGCTGCAGGAAAAATATGCATTTGCAAAAATATCCACTCCCTAGTCGTTGGTTTGGATTGGATAACTTTTTGATTCAGTGAGAACTTGTAGCCATGTATTTCATCTGTATCTTGTAGTTAAAATCCCTATGTTGATATTTATCTTGGGTATTGTTTTTGAAGAATGGACACAAACAGTGACACGCTTTCTTCGGGATCTCCTGGTGAAACTAGCTGAGAAGGAAAGTCAGAGTAATCTCCCTGTTCTTTCTCCTACCTCTACAACCATTGACTATGAGGTCATCATGAAGCAGTGGAGATACTGCTGTCTACTGGCAGCAAATCTTTATCAGGTCAGTCAATACACAATGCCCTTTTGACAGGATGCTCATAGAATTAGTGTAGGTTGGCTGATTCCTGTATTTGTAAAATATTTTTTGTAATAAGTAATTGGTAGAAGAGGGATATTTCAATATATTAGCAAAATACTGGCATGGCTTCATAGTAGCCATCTTGACTCATCTATGATATTGCAGTAAAAAAAAGTCCCACAGCTTTTAACCCTTATGCCACTACAGTTACTGAAGCCATTCTTGTTGAACTTGTGCTCTGCATGGACTGACATGCTCTGAGCATCTCTTTGAAGTTACATGTTAATTTGTTTTGATCAAGCAAAGTTTTATTTGAATTATTATTTATAAGAAATTGGAAATTGAAAATGGATGGAACCCCTCCAGAGTGACCCCTGACTGTGAGTGCTTCTACAGCTAGAAGGCTCTTCCTCCCTTTAACTCTCAGCTTGGGCTTCCATCCATTTTCTGCATCCAGCTCATTTTGAAAAATTGTTCATAACCTTCCTTTTGCAGAATGAATTTAAATCAAATTTCACTAGCCTTGTGTAAATATATCACTTGATCATTAAATTATCAACTGCTTATTGGTATCAGCTAATATATGAAAAAGCCTCTAGTGTAATGCTTCTGTACATTGCAGGCGATTTTTTGCTGAAAATCAACAGAAGTTACTCACTTTGAACAGTCTTTGTCTCCCTCTAAAAAGAGCCTTTTTTGTGAACTCTGATGTTATTTGTGTCATGTGGCTTATGCCTCAGAGCAGTGGTCAGCAACTGAGTTTCACAAGGGCCAAATGGCAGAATGCTGCATATTCACAGGCCAACACCCATCAAATGTTATTAAAATTTCAAAATCGTGAAGTCTCATCAAACATGCTGCTGCATGTATTCTGTCAGAAAATAATGTGCAACATAGCTAGGCCAGAGGAAGGGCTTCAGTGGCCTGACTGTTGTTGACCACAGCCCTAGAAGTTGTTTGTGATATATCGGTCTTAAAAGTCACATTTAAAATCTTCCCAACTTTATCTCTTTTAGTCTTTATGGAAGGTGCAGATGGTATTTCACTATCCAGTGCAGAAAACTAAACTATGAAAACATTTAAAAAAATTAATGCACTATTCTTCCCTGGAAATTTCCTAAGCTGGGTGGGCTCGTTGATTTACCACCAGAAGAATACACACCAATCCTCTGCCCCCCTCACCTTCCCCAACCTTCAAGTTGATTGTCCTCATGTTAGCTGGGATTAAGACAGATATGAGTGTTCATCCATGGCTTGCAATAAGTGGTTTGAGGAGATTTGCCAAAGGAGTATGATTGATTGTGTTTCTATTAGGAGGGGTTATTGGATCGCCATGATTTCCTTGGTTGGCTGCTGGAGATGGTGGAGAAATGTCGAGGCTGGGAAGATCCTATTCTTCGTCTTGTGCTCCCCTTTGCCCTGCAGTATATTCATGAATTCACTCAATCAGAGCTCTACTCGCGTAAAATGGCCCATACATGTGCCTTAAAACTCACCCAGATGGTTGAGGACTGGGCCTCTGGATCTCGTCCTAATAGCCCCATTCCCAAGTAAGTTCCTAACCTGTAATGATAGGTAGACCGTGTCAAATTTAGCAGGATCTCTGACTCTTGGAGAGAAGAATTTCCCATAGCTGTAATATTTTAATATAAATTTTCTGTTTGTGGAGATGAAACAGAACTTGAATCTTTTCATGACTCCTTTATTGCTTGATGTGCTATGGGAGTTCAATTGGTTACCATCATACCTTTAAATTAAAAAACTTGAATTATCTTGTATGTGTCCTCAAAATATCCTGGGCATTCTCAATCAGGAGAATACCCAGGATACCTTGTGGGTATCCTAGCTATTAAAAAAATCCATTTCATGTTTTTTTTTTTTTTCTGTCAGTTTCAGTCATCTGGTGGAGACTTTGAAAATTTGTGTTTCTTTCCAAGTGCTGCAGGAGACCTAGGAATTCTTATCAAAGCCACAGGCTTCCCTAGATGAAGCATGCATTCATGAGTCATTAGGGATTCTGGTATAGTGTGACACAGGCAGGAGTACAGGCAATCAAAAATGTTTTTGTTGATGTTTAAGCAGCCAGAGCCCAGGTGCAGCTGTGCAGAACTCACCAAGCCTTGCATCTGTTTTTCGGGAAATCATGTTTTGCACTGCCAATCGACCTCTTCTCCTCAACCTCACTGCTGTTCTCCAGGTTAGATGCCCCTGCTTTCCTACGTTTGGTGTAATACTATACTGCCATTTTCTCCATAGAAAATTATTGTGTCATTAAGTTATGTAGACTGTCACAAACTTCTAGCCTGTTGACAGAAACTGGTGAAATTATTGCTTTTTCTGAAAAAATAAAAAGAATTTTACTCATTGCTGAGGTCAGTCATCTATAGCCATGTAAAGTAAATTCCAGTTTTGAAAAGTGATGAATATCCAAGGATTCTGTATTCTTGCTTGGCAGATTGTGACATTAGAGTGTAGTACAGCAATGGTGTGGAACAATCTGTTGGACTGCAAATGGGTGTTTCCTCTGAATTTCTCTCCATTGGACATGGCACCTTGTGCTCCATCTGTCATGCCATTGCCTCCAAGACCAGACAATCAGCATATCCGGTGAGTTCTCACTTCAAAATGATGGATTCTGCTATTTGTTTCTTCCTTTTGATAATGATCTATGTCAGATTACAGAATGTGCTGCATTGGTGGACACTTTTTTTTTTCTAGTTTTTAGATAATAACTAAGTATGGTTGTACTGACAGTTATTAGTTTTTTTTTATTAAAGAAAGTCCCCTTAGATGTTTTACAGTCATCCTTCCTTTGGAAGGGCAAGGATATATTAGAAAGTTTTGTCTTGTAGAAAAACTTATGTCATGACCTTATTAGGACTTATAGAGACATTTGTGATGTGACTTACAGAATAGAGCACATTGTCTTATGTCCCATTCAGGAGTCAGCTGCGAACAGCAGAGGAAGCAATCATCCAGAGAAGTCAGGCTGCTGAGGCATGTTGGTCCAATGAGAAACTCACTTCACATACAGGTAGAGTAACCCTCTTTTCTCCCATCCCTCTATGTTATAGCTGAAGTCTTTTTTGGAGATGTCTAAAAGATTTTAGCCAATTGCTGAAATCAAGAACACTGCAAAATTGAGAATGATTTAACGAAAGGCAGAACATGTATCCTTAACCTGTTTCTGAGATCCTGGATCATATGTATTTTTTAAATACAAATGTTGAGCTTGAATTTTTCTCCTGTTTACTCCAGGTGCAATGATAGCAAAGGTCCTATCAGCATTGGAGTGCCTGGATCGGCACAGCTTTGATCGTGTGGACTCAAGTTCTGGGGCCAATCCTCTAGACTCTCTCTACTCGAAAATCTTTCAACCAACCTCTTCACCCAACTCACAGGAGCACCCTATTGATGTATGTGCTGAGTTATCACTGGAATAAGGCTGACATCAAATTTTCACTGCTTTGGATCATTGCATTAAACTTTAGAAATATGGGGATAATTGTGAAAGTTTCAGGGTTCCCACAGGCACAAAAATGTCATGGTTATAGGTATGGCATTAAATATCTGGAGAACTTGCCCCATCTTCTTCATGTACTGAGAAAGGTCATTGAAGAGAGAATTGCATCAACTGTAACATGAGAATGTACCAGAGACAGTTGATGATACTATGAAGAAGATCTATGAAAATTATCATTCATGCAAAGACAATCTTTAGGCATGGACTTTGATTCTCAAATTATTGCTGTAATCCTATGTGTGCAGCCAAGTAGCATCCCAGGAGAGGAAGCAGTTGTGACAGCTTTGTGTGAATGGGCAGTGAGCGTCCAACGATGGGGAGAGCATCGTGGTCTTGTTGTGAGCAAACTCCTTGAACGACGACAGACTGAATTGGTATCTTCAAATTCTGACAGAGAATTGCCTGATGAGAAAGATTCTGTTTCATCAGCTCATCAAAGTCCCATTGGAACTTATCCCTATCAAAATCTTCTTTTCAAATTCTTGGACTTGAAGGCACCTGTCATTGGTGAGTTCAGCAAATAAAACTTATTTTTTACATTTAAAATCTCATTCAATCTATACATTGATGAGAAAACTTCATTCCCATTGTTCAATGCAGACAATACTCCAACGCCGCAAGCAAAGGCTGAGTTTGCCAACTTGGTGCTCCTCTTCTACGAACTCATTCGCAATGATGTCTTTTCGCATGATGCATACATGTGCACACTCATCTCCCGGGGTGATTTGAATCAGCAGGGTCCAGCAAATCTGCCCACTCCAGCCCCTCCTGTTCCCAGTAGTTCTTCCTTCAAAATCTCCCCTGAAAAGTCTCTCTTTGAAAGTCATGACCCCCATGGGCTTGACTTCGATGAAGGGATTCGTGATGATCTAAACAAACTGATCCAACGAATCTCGCATGTGGTGAGTTTGTTTTATTTATATGTGATCTCTGTTTTTGTTTTATGAATTCATGGAAGCAACTGATGATTCAGGTTTCTGGTGTTCAAAACTGCCAGGAATATTATATGAAGAGTTTTCTAGAGTGCTTTCTGAGGACAGATCAAGGAAACCAGTGTGGAGTGGTTTCATTCCAGTGTTGTCCCCACCATAATTCTTTTTGACACATATCTGGCTAATGACTTGTGCTGAAGAGTTTTTTCCAGAATTTGTAGGCTTAGGTCAATATCCATCTTTTTATCCTACAGCTTTGAAGGCTATAAAAAAAGATTTATGGCTTTGAAACAAAAAGGGCCAATAATATGACATATTTAGACAGCTAAGCAGACAAAAATTTCACCACCACATGAAAAGAGACTGCATAAAAGCAGGAAAAATAATAATAACAATTTCCAAAAAATGAGGTTTTGCACAATTCACCATTCAGCAACACCTACCTGTCCAGCTTTGGTGACAAAAGACAGGCCTGAATATTTCATCTTTCAGCATGTCCCTGGAAAATTATTTTCCTTCAATATGCTTAATATGCTTAATGCTTTCACTGGATTTTTAAAGCAGATTACCCAAAAGCTTACAGGTATTTTCTCCTTAGGATTGATGGTCTTCTTGGGGTTAAGGACAAACCACAGAATGTACAAAGGTGCTGTGTGCTTTGTGCTTATGCCTCTTTCTCTGTAAAATGTCTTCACTTTTATTGTAATCTAGGAAGTGTGCAACCTGTTCATCAAATGTTCTGAATAATGCTGTGTATTGCCAGTATCAAGTACTGAAGTTTGCAGAGTTGGGTATTCCTCGAGTTGATGACACCTGAAAAATTTAACCTATTAGTACATTATATTTTTAAGGTGCCATGGGATGAAAATTTCAGAGTGGATTCCTTTTTTTTAAATAGCTTGCCTTACTATGTCTATTGCATATGTGCGAGCCTCCATCATTTCATTAAGCTGAGATTATCTTTGCTTTTGGATCATGGCATTAACTGTCATCTTATAATCACAGCAGCTCATACCTCACCCCTTTCAGAGTCATTCTCTGCTTACAGCCTTCAGGCTTGTAGAGCATTCCATCTCAAAAATGCTTTTGTGAATCTTCCATCCTGCATAGGACAATCCTGATTCCCCAAAAGATGAACATGGAGGTCCACTGGGAGGACGACTGGGACCCTTTGTAGCACCACCAGGGCTCACAGTGTCCCGTCACCTTCTCTACACAACCCACTTCCCCCTCCTCATAGAAGAATGGACTACACATGAGAGCAATCAACGCAGTGTTCTCCTTTTTGGTGTTGGAAGAACCCGGGATGAAGCCCGGCATCTCGTTAAGAAGATCAACAAGGAGGTCACCCGGCTTTTCAACAAGAAATTCAGTATTGATGTGGCTGAAGGTACCAATAATGAAGCTATTTATCACTGCTGTAAATGTAAATATTTTCATGAGTATAATGTTCTCATTAGAACTTGAACATTAGAACTCCTCTCCTCGAGTTTACATGCATTAAAATTATTGGGGGTCAGTATGAAAAATATGTATGGACCTACTTAGCTAGTTAGTGCATTGGAAAGATTTTGTCATCCAATAGCCATAAAGGGAAATATGGGTGGCCAGTATTTTAGGCTTCTGTCTTTCATTAGATGAGGGAGTTGATGAGCTTCAGGGCATCAAAAGTTAATCAGGGTTTTTACGTGAACCTTGGTATTAGTAGATGTATGGGTACTGGCTGCTCATTCATTCACATTGTCTTTGTCCTTCTGCTGATTTGCCATATTGCTCAAAAAAAAGAAACGCAAGGTCAACAAGGCAACTTGGTCTCTTTCAAGGTCTCTTTCTCTTTCTTTCTAACCATTTGATTTCCCTTTCCCTTTTTTTTTTTTGACTGATATTTGTGAGTGGAGAAAGTCTTAAGCAAGGATGGATTTTCAGCAGCCCAAGTATGCCTATTTTCATAAGTATTCTTCCTGTTTGAAAATTATTATGCTTTCATTATATGCATATGATAGATCACACTGGGCTATCAAGTCACATTTAAAAACATGGTGTAGCTTTGCCACTGAAATCATGGAGTAATAAGGTCACGTAATGAAACCATGTAACAAGATTTTGAATCCCCTTTCATGATGGGTGTGGAATACTGTAAAAAAAAAAATTAATTAAGCCTCTCCACTCAGTCTCCATCTTGTTCATGTTACTGTTTGAGCTGTGTGAGACTCATGTTGCAATTGTGTTTTTTTTTTTAACAGGTGGAAAAGTGAAGAAGTCCTGGAAGGGGGAATATTCCTTGGAGATGCTGCAGAGCAAGTTTTCATCCCTGTCCTACTTTGATCAGCATGCTGTGGTGTCATCTGGCCTGAGCACAGTGATTGAGATGCTGGCTTCCTTCATATCCAGCTCTGGGTCTCATCTACCCCTCCCTGATCATCTTGCATTCCTCTTTTCTCTCATGGAGAATGCCCTTTACATCCATGGCATGCTTGAGTTCTCTGTTCAGGTAAGAATCCCTTCAACTATTGGATTGATCAGCTCCTTGGGCAGAAAAATTTTATTTTATTTATTAGGGTGTTCCTAAGATGTACTCAGTTAGATATAGATGTAGATGTTAGAATGCCTTAGATGCACTTAGGTATTGTTGCTTTGTACTGTGCAATACTGTAAATATTGGTTGCATCAGAATGTGGATTTGATCTTTGGTCCTTTGTCAGTGGTCTGTCACATTTGCTGAAGCACAATGAGTTTCCTTCATTCCAGTAGTACCTATTGCACCAAGAGGTAATTTAAGTGTTTCTCTGATGCTGTGATGTTTAAAATATGAGAACACATCTGGTAGGATTCAGGTTCTATACCTTTGAAATGTTTCTAATGATGAGTTGGATGCCAGAGTGGTTGTGACTTGAGTTTTGATGCAAAGCACTGAGTTTGTTAAGCTGTGATAATGTGGGTGTAGGGGTGTACCAATGGTCAGAAATGACTGGTAGACCAAATGTTAGTAAGAACTCATCCCATGAACCTATCAGCCAGTTCTGATGATGATGCCAATTTCTGACAAGTAGAAGGGGAAAAACTAAAATAGCTTGTATTCTAGTATTTAGCCTTTAGTGGGTATTTCCCCTCTTTGTCAATCAGTGAAATAATTGCCAAAATTCTAACCATTTTTAAAGTGGGGGAGGATGGTAGAAAAACTTGCATATTTCCTTGGATATGAAACAGGAAATCCAACAGGATGCCCAATAGTTTTGTTCAATGCTGTTGCAGCCACAGAGAGGAAATTTGAATCTTATATTTAAGAATATACTATGTATGTTACATATTTCTTAAATATAGTCGACTCCATATAATCGAGTACTGCTTAATAGAATACCATTTTACAGTCCAGATTTTTCAACGATAAGATACATTATGAAGAACATTATGCAAAGGAATACAGTTATTAGATTGACCCACTTAAAAGAATAAACTTTCCTGAAGCATGGAATAATTTATTTTCAGTTCACTGTAAAATGAAATGCTTATTTTTCCCAATCATGTTCTTGGTAAGTCTCCTCCAGCTCTTCCCTCAGTCCCACCCTCCCACTTTGTGGAACCAAGGTCAAGAGTTCCCACTTGACTCTTTCGTGAACTGAGGGCGAGGGCAGGAGGTCCAGGCAAGCACACCCTTTCCTAGAAATTGGAGTGTAAGTATAGACTTTAGATGCAGAAAAGAAGCAAAAGAGCTTGTCTTTTTTAGGCAAAAGTAAAAGCTAGTTTACCTGGACTATAAGTTGAGCCTATCGGCATAAGATCTGCACATTCAAAGTTGACCATGGGGAAAAGGAAAGACCTCAGCTTGGCCGAAAAGATTGCAGTTCTGAATGCCCACCTCCCAGAAAAGACACTGTGTGGTCAGCCAACAGCAACAGATACCTGTCTTTTTGGACTAATAAGAAAAAAAAAAGAAAAATAAGCAACCAACTCGATCAAGTGTTGAATGTAAAAAACTCTTATCTAAACGGAAATACAGTAACTCAAAAGGAAGTGAAAGCAAAGTGAGCCTATTAGTTTCTGAATACTTAGCAGTATTCTCATCAGGGGCACAGTCCTGCTTAAGCTTTCCGTGCAAATAGATCTTTTTTGGAATTCTTGATAGAGCGAATGAAAGTTTGAAGAAACGGAAAGGGTATGACTGAAAGGGTGTCAAATGACTGCACATACCATTAGCTGGAGGGAGCTCACGGTCATGTTACTGGAAGGCAACCAGTGCAACGTGTACTGTGAAGGTGGATGTGACGATGCTCAGGGAAGCAGCCAACCTCCAACTAACAAGCAAAAAGAAATTAAGCCTTACCGGAAACCATGCCCGAAAGATCTCTCTGCTAAACCAGGCTCTGAACGGAAAGAGCTGACAAAAGGAAATTAAATGGGGTTCGTTACTGGGAATGTTATATTTGTATAAAGGGATGTGCTGCAGTCCTGCAATTCCTACCTTTTCTAGGAAATGCTTATCAGTGTTTAAAAAGAAAAATTATTTACCTTCCTACAGCTAAGGGTCCTACATTCGAAATCCACCCCTTATGCAAATAATTTTTTCCTCATCCACTTGGGAAACACTTGTTTCCAATAATTCTTGAAAAATTCCGATCTTACAATAATGGAAAGGGTGCTTTCAAGTATATGCGTTTTAAGGGGAATGAGAGCGAGGTGAAATCAATTTGAATGGTCGTTCTCATGTCCGCCGCCATAATTAATAATCCAAGCTCCTAGGAGTTCAAACTCCAAAACGTGGAGCTCAAGCTCCGTGCTGTGCTAGAGCGAAAGTTTATTCATTAGAAAGCGCTGACTCAGCTCAAGATCTGAGCTAGAGCTCAGGTCATACGGGCCAATGTCTCTAGGGCTGGATCTCTTCCTACTCTTATTCCATATCGGTGTTTCAGATTTCCCCTCATCCATTATAAATAAGTTGCAGGGGAAGCCTCAATGTGGCCAGTGTTTATCAGGTAACGAGTGGAATTGTAAAGTCTATAATGTCTTCGAACGTCCTCAGATCGAGTGTCATTTCCCCGGGAAGGGGGAGGTTCTCCTGGAGAACCGTAGATCCTTTCCTGACGAAGTTTCCATTCAACAAATGCCTGTTTCGACCGTTATGCTTTTGTCCTCTCGAATTGGACAGTTTCTAAGTTCATAAATTTATGTTTCTACCTTGAGGCCTCATGGCCTCTCGAAATGGGCAGCATCCACAGCTGTATGTCCTGGTAAAACGGCAGGCATGTCCCACGCTGGACGTCTTGCAACGTCGGACATGAGCGCTGGAGTTTGAAATTTCAAGCAGATGAGATTACTAGTCTTGGAGGGGTCCAGTAGCGTGCAGGCCCATACCAATTTGTATTGGCTGCTTCATTTTGATTGGAGATTGGTGTGTCTGAGCCACAGGGGGTCCACGTAATGGACGGTTCAGTGCACACCTATCAGTGAGTTGCATCAGTGTGAAGAACCCAGAAAATAGTGAAGCCTGGAGACATGCTACAGCTGCAACTGTGAAATTGTGAGTTGCAACTTTCCACATGAAGTCTATGCTGTCATGGCCCGCATTGTCAGATAGCTCATGGGCATGTTGGTCACCGCAGAGAATTTGTTGGGACCGCTTGAGCCCGAAATCCTAGATAGGCTAATGTCCAAAGCGCGCTTTGTGGATAGCAGATACCCTATGTTCACACCTCGCGCAGCACCCCTGCCCCCTTCTCTCCCCTCGGTCCTTCTCTCATGTTAGTCAATTCCTGTCGGTATCCTCTGGTTTATCCTGTTTTATGCTGACACAAGTCTAAAGAAATTCCTGCTGCGCTTTTCTAAGCAATCGGAGCCAGGACAGTCAGGAAGGGTCTCTTCAGACTGACTACTCGTAGATTCTCGTTTCCTTCTCCAGAGGGGGTAGAGAAGGACGTCACGGCCGTTCCTCTTCGACGGTTGCTAATTTCAAAAATTAAAATTATTGTCAGAATTTTTTCCACCCACGTTTGAGTTTGCCTCAGAGGCATCTCCATTTATTGTGGAAGGTACCTACTCTAAAACTGACGTGGTCTTCTCATCCTGGAAACTAATGCCACGAATGGTGAGGGATGAAGAGGGGTGTCAAACGTACGACCCGCGGAGGTGGTTCATTCGGCCCACCTCCTGTTCTTGCCTAACCTTGAAGGGGAGTTGAAGGCGCCATCACCCCTCCTTCACCATTGGCAATTAAACTGGCGTCCCCTGGCTGTCAATATTCGAATAGAGAAGGGTTGTTGACAGCAGCAGTCACGGAGGCGCAACCGGCTTCATTCGCTCGCCTGCCTCCGAGCAGCAGCAGAGGCGGTGGTAGTGTTCGGATGAGCCGCGAATACCGACGTGCGATCTCGAACGACACAGCTGCTGTCACCATTGTCATCGCAATTGCTGCGCTGTTGCTGTTGCGGCTGGGTGCGAGTCGATGCATGCTCGAAGGTGCATGAGTCAACTACTGTGTAATAAGTGTCACGTGGGTTGTTGTGTTGTTACCTCATGTGACCGTGAACTCTCCAGTTTTCTTACCAGAACTATAGCAAATACTTCTTAAAGGTAATTTGAATTTTGTTCTCATGTCTGAGGACCTGTTTCAAACAAATGTTTACGTTTCCACAGATTTATAAGCAGGTACGTGCAACTGCCATTGATGGGCGAAGCTTAAGTTTGGTGTGCCCGAAAGTTGAAACAGTGAAAACGGAGTGAATAACTAATTTCGTGAAAAATTATGGGTGCGGCCCGCAGACATGTGCAGGGTAAGGAATGCAGCCCGCCGCCCCATTGCGAGCACTGCTTGTCCGTTATTTTTCTGCCATTTCAGAGTGACCTTTCTGACGTCAATCAGGAGCTCTCTTCCTGCCGCGCTGTTGTCGGCATCTTAGTACCGTCATCTCCTTCCAATCCACGTGTCAATCCGACCTTCACTTGCCTTCTTGCTCTTCTTTTTCATTTTTGCCCTTTTTTTCCCTTTTTCGTTCCTTCTCTTTTTTTTTTCTCTCTCTCCCCGCCTTTCCTATCGGTTGCTACTCTTCCAGGTAACCAGGTTACAGAACTTTTTACACCCCCGAGGTTCCCCGAATCAAGGAAATGAAGGGACAGTCTCGTGGGAAAACATGAATTTCCCCACGAGATTTTGTCTGGGAATGGTCTGAACACCTGTTTCTTTACTTGGGAATGAGATCATCCTCTGCATCATAGCGCACTGGCAGATTCACATGCTACTAGCGATAGGCTGGCCCTTGGAACCACATCTTTCCACCAATGTACCAGAAATGATTGATAGCAGCTGTTGGTATTGCATCATCTACTGTCTGCATAGGACCTTCCAATGCATCGATGTTACTATCGATAGATTCAATCCATCGATGTATCAGTTATCGCGATTATCCCAACCCTACTTCTCGCTCTGTTATCCATCCCTCCCCCAATCGAAAACAACAGAAGGCAACCTTCACCTTCCTCCTATGGTTGAATAGAAGGAAGCCTCCTCCTCCCCCCCCCCCCCATGATGTTCGGGGGTGGGGGATGAACAATTTTCTGTCACATCAGTGCACCATCAATAGTTGAATCAGGAAGCTATCGGTATGGAGTAAATATTCAAGGGAAAATAAGGGAGATGGGAAAGAATTTGGTGACTGACCAGGGCTAAGTATAATAAGTCACTGGTTACATTATTTTTAAATTACTTTTGATCTTCAAAGAATCTTTTCAGACTAGGTATTCTTATTTCACTAATAACTTTAGCAATATCTTTTCATGAAAATATCATTGAATGAGATTTTAATTTCCTCTTGTATATATATCACATTTTTCTCTGAATATTGAGGCCCTCTGAACTGATGATGCTGATGAGCACATGCACATCATGGGTTTCTGGATCATTGATCACTCTTTCTGTCATTATTACCATTCTCCATGGTTATCAATTAGCTTTAGTCTGCACACTGGCAAACTGTCAGAATTGACTTTCATGTGAGATGACAGTCAATTGTAAGAAAATTTTTATTTGGTACATTTTCATGACATTCATGAAACTGACATCTTAAATTAGTGTTATGTTGCTTGGAGAGTAAATCATTTCAGTATTGTCAAGTTACATCCAGACTCTCTTTAATTTCATCAGTAATTACTATGTTACTCTTAGGTAACCCTGCTTATGATACATGGTCTCATTGCCATTTTGGCCACATTAGGGTTGATATACTGATTCAGCCAGGAGTGTGTCACTTATACTTACACTTATAAAAATACTTAATGAGAAATAGTCTGCCATAGAGTTTTGTTTTCTAGAGTCTCTTGAAAAACAAAACAGCATTGTACAGCAGTTCCAGGGAGTTTGGCATTTGTCATATTGAAAATTTTAACATTGAAATTTGCAGTTGCTGAAGGACTTACATGATGTTGAAGCATTACTCAGTGGACGAGGGTCACTCATCCTTGCAAACTATGCTTCTCAGCTGGCATTATTTGTTGTTGGGATTCTTCGCCGGTATCACTGCTGCCTCCTCGGTGAGAATACTTATAGTTCAAAACGGCTCTCTAATAAATAGTCTCTTGAACATGCTATTCATTTTTAGATATGCAACTATAGGAAATTATAACAAGATATTCCATTATCAGCCCTTTCAGCCCTTTAGCTTTTATATTGCTTCAAAGCTTCAGCCTTTATATTGTGTATTCTAATGCAATTGGTTTTTAAGATTACTGAAAATTCTCACCACTGCAAATTCAGTGCATTTGTAAAGCATGGTTTTGAAGATACCAGTCCTATGCATAATTACAATTAAATTCTTAATAAATGAACATTTTCATTTTCAGCACACTTCAACTCCTTCCAGAGGTGTTACTAGAAATCCTTGCAAATGAGAGATTTTGTGAATACTGTGCAGAGTTCTCTCCTCTTGGAAAAAAAAAATGCTAGGAAGAGATTTAGCTCTGAGAGTGTGACACACTGTTTAATTTAGAATGGGGGATATTCAGCTCAAAGAGGTCAAGGATATCCAGTGGGAACTTGGAGATATTGCTCTTGCTTTGATGCTGGGGGGATTTCATGTTATAATAGTAATGTTCTTGACATGAACTCTGATTTGATTGTTTAATTGCCAGTTTCCTAAAGAATGAAAAGGAACTTCATATTTAATTGCAAATTTTACTTGTAATTAGTTACTATTTCAGTCAAGTTATTTATACCTGCAACTTGGTATTTTTAGGATGTAACTTGCACATCACAGTCTTTCATATATATAATATTTCTTCCTTCAGCTCCAGGTTCCCAGTTCATGCCCATGCATGACACAAAGTAATGGCTAGATCTACTTGAATTCATGGACTATGACATTGATGCCTGACTCCAGTAGCAAAGCAAATGCAATATAGTGGCTTTTCTTGGATGGGTATATTATTTGGTTGCACGTGTGACTGCTAGGTATGAAGGTCATTGCATCTCTGATAATTTGATGCCCTGTTTGATTCAGTTTTTCCAGAGCTGACAGCCCAAGCATTTGAAGCATTGTGCAGGCTGGTGAAGAATGTGACCAACCCAGCTGATTGTTCATCAACAGAGCGCTGCATTCTTTCACACTTGGTGGACCTCTACACATCATCTCACTATCTCAAGACCAAGCATGAGTGGGAGTTTGGATATACATTTGCCAATGCATATCCAAAGATAAAAAATGTTCTCTATGCTCCTCTTCAGCCTGCTACTTCCAATCTTGTCTGGAATACTGGTAAAATTGATTCAATCTGCATTTCTCAAAATGTTTGAGTTCATGTTTGAACTTCAAACTTGACCTTTTAACTTTTCTAATTTCCAGCTTTCATGAAGGACTACTTTGTGGATCCGAAGATGAAGGTAGATCCCCTACTTTTGAAGCAGTTGAATGAAGCTCCTGGCAGTCGTTACAGCTTTGTCTGTAATGCAATTGAGGTGTGCAACACTGTTTTGGATGCATCTTCCAATACTACTGATGCTGAGCGCTTGAACAATATTGCTGCCCTCTGTGCAGAGATGACAGCACGTTGCAATGCCCTTTCCGCTGAATGGCTTGGTGAGTACGGTACCAAATCCTGCAACCCAGTGTGGCCCACTTAAATGCGATGATCACCTGATGAAAAGAGTATTTTAGAGTTCTGCAGGTGTCCATTGAGGATTGCATACAGATTTGATTTTAGGTCTTCAGAAATTTGACTGAAATTACTAAAGGCATCATTACCGAACCAGTATACAGTACTGGTTAGTACGTTAGTTTTCACTTCTGATCTGGAATTCACAAGGCATAGATAGAACTTAGCTAGTCAAAGGGTAGATTTATTTTTTGCTTCATTCCCCTAATTGAAAATGAATCTGTCCTATAGTAGAGGAGTAATTTCAGGCATCCAAGAAGCAATAGGCAATGGGCTGGCAAGGACAGGTGTTAAAGTACGACTGTATATTATTCACTGGATAAGAGGAAAGCAGAATTAAATTTATTAGCAGACTAAGTCTGATATGGCAGATTCATGTAAAATAACCTGAGTTTCCAATCACAGAACCCTGACTTATTTTGCCATGTGACTCTCACATGTAGGGGTGTTAACAGCATTATGCCAGAGTACTCCCGGATACATTGATGTACAAGCAAGATTGGATGTCTCTGACCTCTCCCTTCACCGCAACCTTGCCACATTCACTTCAGTCTTAGTGGCAAGACACACATTCCCTCTAGAGGACTTTGTCAAGCATGTTGCCATCAAATCTCTGGTCAATGCTTGGAGTGAAGGCAAGTTTTCCCCTCTTCTTTCCATTCTGTCTTACTGCCACTCTCATTCCTGGCTGAGCCATTGTTATTCTTTTCCCTTTCTAAACATTCAGGGCGAGGGAACCCTGAAGCAGAGCCTGGAGCACGCCTGACATGTCGTCTGCTTTTACAACTCTTCAAAACAGTGGATTGTCCTTTGCAGCTACCTCTTCTATCTGGTGAGTTTCCTCCATCCTTGCTCTCTTGATAGGGTTCTCAGAGGCCTTTAAAACCAGTAGAACTGAATTGAAGTTTAAAAAAATCACAAGAAATTTGAATTTTCTGAAAGTTGGGAAGTGTGCAAAAAGTATTATCATCCATATATCTATCATGCACAAAGGATGTTGTGATGGGGAATGATGGTACAAAGAATGTGCAGATTGAGTACAACTCTGCAAATCTATATTAGGAATATTGTCTCCTGAAGGACCTGGAAACATGGAAAAGTCAGAAGCATTTTTCCTCAGATATGGGATCATTGCAATGCTTTAGATATTCAGAAGCAATTCTCATTCAAATGTGGAGGAAGTAGTTGAAGGGAAGATATTTATTTATTCCATCCGATTTACAGGACACCTTACTCCTTCATCCCTGGGATCATCTTCTTCAAAAAGTTTTTCAATGAACTGTGATCGACACCTCCTCACTGCAGCTCATACCAATATCAGTGTTGGGGCCATATTGGCAGTTCTCAAGGTGAGCCCTTTTTGTATAGGCTTGTATCATGTGAAAAGTATCTGATTGGAAAGAAGAGGGGAAAACTTGCCTCCACTCCAAGCATTGACCAGAGATTTGATGGCAACATGATTGACAAAGTCCTCTAGAGGGAATGTGTGTCTTGCCACTAAGACTGAAGTGAATGTGGCAAGGTTGCGGTGAAGGGAGAGGTCAGAGACATCCAATCTTGCTTGTACATCAATGTATCCGGGAGTACTCTGGCATAATGCTGTTAACACCCCTACATGTGAGAGTCACATGGCAAAATAAGTCAGGGTTCTGTGATTGGAAACTCAGGTTATTTTACATGAATCTGCCATATCAGACTTAGTCTGCTAATAAATTTAATTCTGCTTTCCTCTTATCCAGTGAATAATATACAGTCGTACTTTAACACCTGTCCTTGCCAGCCCATTGCCTATTGCTTCTTGGATGCCTGAAATTACTCCTCTACTATAGGACAGATTCATTTTCAATTAGGGGAATGAAGCAAAAAATAAATCTACCCTTTGACTAGCTAAGTTCTATCTATGCCTTGTGAATTCCAGATCAGAAGTGAAAACTAACGTACTAACCAGTACTGTATACTGGTTCGGTAATGATGCCTTTAGTAATTTCAGTCAAATTTCTGAAGACCTAAAATCAAATCTGTATGCAATCCTCAATGGACACCTGCAGAACTCTAAAATACTCTTTTCATCAGGTGATCATCGCANAAAAATTGTACTGGATATTCAAGAAATTCCGAGAACTTTCTTTCCAATCAGATAGCTCCTTATTCAGATATTCAAAGTCAGAAAATTTCCTATTTCTGACTGTAGGATTGAATGACCTCTTAATGTTGGCTCCTCTGTCTTCAGCAGAGTGATGGGCAGAACATTGAGATGAGGATATTTGACCATTTTCAGATGTGGTCTGTGATTCATAATGTTGTAATAACGTTATTCTTCCTTCAGGGCTCTTTCCAATGGGTCTAGCTAAAAACTCATTCTGCTTGCAATAAAGGAATCTGCATGAGTAGTCATAAACCTTGGGTTTCATCATCAATGCTCACCCATGCTCAATCCACAATCTACAAATTGAAATATTTCTCTCTTTATACCCAGGAGCCTAGACATGCTTCCAGCCTCACTTGTTAGCAAGTACCTAAAGTCTCTTCACCTCCAGTTGAGTTTGACTGACAACCACACAAGTTATGTCTCAGAAATCTCATAGTTTTCATTTTTTCACATTTCATGTATAATTTTTTTTGTGTCTCATCTATTCCTGAAAGCTACTGGATTATCCAAAACTTGAGGGCTTGTTGAGTTTATTTTGTCTTGTTGAGAATGCATGCATTTTCTAACTAGATTTTTATTTTGCCCATTTTAGGCCTTACTTCTTCTTGGAGACACAAAGCAGAGTGGGGGGGATGGGAGCTGGCGAGGGGAAGGCGCACGATCCAATCCTCTGGAGCCTACAATATCTGATATCCTTGGCACTTCTGACCTGTCGTCCTCATCTGCTCATTCCTTCCTCAGGTCAGATTTCAAGTTTGGACTATAGTAGTTGTGCTTTGACAATAGCCACATTTGGAAAAAGCCACAACAAATGTTGAAGTAATACTTGAAGAAGTTTAAAGAATGCTTCCTTCTATTGGGAAGGTGGCAGTATGGAGTATTCTAATTCACTCTGTCTTAACCCAAGTGGAGTTTAGACCTTTTCAAATTCTGAATAGCCATAACACTACTGCTGCTTGAGATCCCTCTAGTCATGCTGTCCACTTCACTGAAAGTCACCTTGAATGAGTCTTTTTATTTATAAATAAAGAGTTAAGTGTTTCCTTGCCAGAATAATAAGTTATGAGTTATGGCTTTATTTTAGATTTTGCTTATAAAACCAAGTGGCAATGTAGTCTAACGATGCCACAAATGTCATTTTCTCCAAATTCTCCCTGATGGTTTTGTTCAAACTTGTCACTCAGTTGAGGGAGAAGGATTATGAAATGGAGGAGTCATCAAAATTTTGATGAAATTAAAATTTCCAGCATATTGGAACTTATTGAAAGAATTACAATATTAGAGGTGGAAACCCCCACCTGATGATATCTTCTACAACATTAGGGTAATAAAAAGTGCAAGAAGAGGAAAGCATGAATATTGTATTTCTTGAAGCAATGTTACCATTATTTAAATGGACCAGCTTACTTGAAGAACTTGATAAAAACACAGATTATTTCCTATTGCATGATAGTGCAACATTTTATTCAATACTATAGGGTCATTCCATGCCAAATCAACCAGAAGTAAGCTCGACCATCTCGGATTTTGATGAAAATCAGCATCCACGTAGAGGAATCAATTTAATGAGACATAATTTTCGCTCCCAGTGCCCATACTGACAGGAATTGTGAAACTGTTTCTGCAATAACTTCCCCTCTAGTTAGGATAAGAGCTTCATTCTGGTGTCATTTTAATTGTGACATTGTCATCTGTAAAATGGCTTCAGAAATTATTATCCTAAGCTGAAGCAATAAGCATCACTTGATCAAACAGTTTGATCAAGTTCAGTGACCAATATTGACACTTGCTGCCTTGCGAATTCGTTGTTTCAATATTTCATTAAAAAGGGCATGATATGCCATTTCTGACAAGATATGAATATTTTTATGTGCCAGTGGGGCCAAATTTCTACTTTTTCTAACACTTTGCCCGACTTCAGTGACCGACACCTGCACTTTTCACTCCATGGATCTGGACTTCTAATACATTATTAAAATATTCATATCTTGTCAAGCCATTGAGTGCCAATCTCAAATTTTATATCGCCAGAAATGGCATTCCATGCCCCTTTTAACAAAATATTGAAACAAATTAGTGTGGCAGCAAGTGTCAATATTGGCCACTGAACTTGATCAAACTGTTTGATCAAGTGATGCTTATTGCTTCAGCTTAGGATAATAATTTCTGGAGCCATTTTACAGACGACAATCTCGCAATTAAAATGACACCAGTATGAAGCTTTTATCTTTACTAGAGGGGAAGTTATTGCAGAAACAGTTTCACAATTCCTGTCAATATGGGCACTGGGAGCGAAAATTATGTCTCATTAAAATGCATGTATCTGGAGATCTGTGGGAGAAATTGGTCTCTTTAAATCAATTCCTCTATGTGTATGCTGATTTTCATCAAAATCCGAGATGGTCGAGCTTACACGCTGGTCGATTTGGCGTGGAACGACCCTATAGAATCCATTGTCTGATCCTGTCAAAAGGTCAGGTTTCAATTTTACTTTGTAGTCCAACCTGTCCCAGTAATCCTTTCTCCTCTGGGAGTAATCAAAATGGCAGCAGTCCAGCATTCAGAATTTCCTACAGATAGGAACATGGAAAAGTAGCAAAAGTTAGAGAAGTACAATCCAGGAAGTTGTCCCCAATTTTTGTGAACTCAAGTAAGATGCAAGGAAATGGTGGAAAATTGTGTGATTCTGCTGCTTGGGAAGAAAGTGAAGGATTTTAATTATGGTATGGGAGTACATATTTTGGATGTAAGGAAGTGCACAACTTTTTTGAGGGCAGCTAAGGGAAAACTACGAAACTCGAACACTTCGGAGAAGTGCAACTTGACTTGAACACTTTTGTTAAAAGTATCGACTGCTTGTTTGATGTTCTCTCAGGTGATTGAATTATCTTGCTGCAGTTTCCCTGTCAAAGATGCCATGGTTTTGATTTCCTATGATATTTCGATCATGAGAAGAAGTACGAGTGCAAAATCTGAGCGCGCTCAGATATTGGATATGAAACAATTGTGTTTCAGTTGTTGGGTATCTCCAGGATAATTGTTCTATAGAACTACGTGTTAAAGCACAATTTAATGTAAGAGTTCCTTTGGGAATATTTTAATGGTTGGATAATATCCCACCAGTTTAGATTGATTATTTTGTAAAACATAGACCTGAGCGCATGTTCAGTTTGACATTGCAAATCCATAGCTTGACAAAAGAAATATGAGAAGGGTCACAAAAGGAACAGCATCAGAAACAGAACTATACAAAGATCTCAAGAAATTTTTTATTCTGGTTGATAATCCAGGTAAAACCCACCTCCATTTGTGTATTTTGATGGAACATTAGCTGGTTACTCCTTTGGTTTTTGTTTTCTCTTTTTCCCTTCTCATTGTATTTTATTCTATTAGAGTGTTAGGCCCCATGTAGTTGTGTATGTATTTTGAAGCTATATTCATATTCCAGAAAAAAAATCCTTCGATTCCTCGTATGCTTGCTTTCCTCTTACGGAAACAAAAGGGGTGGCAGAATGTGCGAATAGATCCAGCAAACATTAGTCACTAAGGTAGCTGAGGCTGGCTGTACAGATTACAGAGTGAAAGGAAGAAATTCCATGCTTGAGTCACAGAGTGCATCCGTTTAACTCAGTGAGTAGCTGTTCAACTCAAGATGCAGCAAGCACAATTATGGCATGTCCCATTTTGAGGAGCCATGCACACCCACTCTTTGTCACTGAAGATTTATTCCTACCATAACTTAACCCTTGGAAACAGGTAGTTTCAGAGAGGGGCAAAACAAAATGGTCACCCCTGGGGCTGGCCATTATGGGCTGAGAGAAACGCCGGATTTGATAATTGGACGGAAAACATAGTTCGAGTTTCGTTGTTTTCCCCTACCCTCAAAATAAGCTAGAAAACTTGAAAAACCAAAGATATTGTATTTGATGTCATGAAAACCCATATTCTTTTGCAGTGGAGCATTGAAGGGGGGTGTGAAGAGTGGAGTTGAGTCAGCCTCTTTAGATGCCTATGCCTCCCATGTGCTCCTTCAGATCTGTTCTCAGCCCTGGGTCAGGGAGAGATTGCTTCGCAATCCCGACCACCTTTGCACTCCAGAGTTGCTACTTGACAATACATTATCTCAAACTCAGGTGTCCCATCGTAGTATCTCAGAGCCTTTCCCATAATGATGGTGTTCCTGGACTAGATTATTATTTTCTTTCAGGCTCAACGATTGCTCCGCTTGATCTGCCACCCAGATAGTCCACTGCCAGTGATTGGTGAAAACTTTGATCAGAAGCAGGCAATAAGTCGACTACTTCAAGTGAGTCTAATTTACTTTACCTCCAGATATGAATTATTTTCTATATTGCACTCTGTCAAAGGTTTGCCCATCAAACCCAAGTATCAAAGGGTGCAATCCATAAATTTTGGCTTACTAATAGCATTATGCAGAATGGATCAAGTGGAACGCGCTCCAAGGGATTGAACAGCATTTTTATTATCTATTAGAAATCACTCTTGTCACTTTTAGGATGCTAATTCTGTTCTGTTGGATTGCTTTTGTAGACATTGAATCAGTGGAACTTGAGAGCAGCTTGGCTTGATCTTCAGTTGATGTTCAAGCAATGTTTGAATCCTCAAGCAGAACGCAAATGGGTGGAAGCTGTTGCTCAGACCACCATGGATGCTTTCCATGCTGCCCCTGACTCACCTGATGCCCAGAAACAAAGGTATCCTGAGCATAAACTTAATTTATTTCACTAAACCCCAAATCTGAGAGTGGCTTAATGACTCATGAGTCAAGGTAAGGTAAGATATAAACAACCAGGAATCCACTGAGTACCCAATTGGTCTATGAGGTGTAAATAAATAAATTAGTTGCTTTCAGACCTGAAGCTGGAAAGACCTTATTTAATTGCCAACCTTAGTTGCTTTCATTGCTGATTTATTTTCTAATCTTGGTTTCAGTGGAGATAAGGATGATACTCCTGAAGCCCTGTGGTTAATTGCACCTCTTGTGGCCAAACTTCCGAATGTTGTCCAAGCCCAAGTCCTCAAGGAAGCAGGTATGCTTCTCATCAGTCATTTGAGTTTTCTCCAGGTTCACCTAGATTTTTTAAGACAGGAGCTCCTGTATTGATCCAGGAAACTTGCTGGAGAATGGAAACCTGTCCTCAACAAAAGTAGGTGGGAAGGAGCGGGAAAAGGGGGGAGCATCCAAGAAAGGGAATCGTTTAACTCGAAAACAGCCATTTTTGGCTCTCCTTCGTACATGTCTCAAAGACCAGGATATGGATCAGAAAGAAGTCCTCCTGGAATCTCTTCATCAGCAACTCAAGCAACTCACACAGCTAGTTCATAGTGTAAGAATGAATGTTTTTCAAGCTGTATAGAGTGATTTTTGGCATATGACTCTAATAATTGAAAACACTTCTTTTATGATTTCGACAAAGCTGAGGAAGAAAATTAGGTTGGGTGTGAAAAATCAGAAATTTCTCCATTCCACCCTAGTTTTTTTTTTCACTCTTCAATAGAAATTTATGATTGCCAAACATTTTTACATATTTCATTCCTTGGTTCCAAGTTCATCCTGTTAAGAAGTAAAAAATAAGGTAGGCCTTTGCATGAGGTGATGATGACATAGATGTTCTGTTGTGCAGGATAAGCACTGCCTGTTTGATGATCAGTTTCGATCTGTGCTGGGGGAAGCTCTGCAGCTGCGTCTGAGCATTGTTGGCTGGATGTTTGACACCATCCAACAGTCTATGAATTTAATGAAGGAGTTTGCTGAGCTCCTTGTCCAGCTCATCTATTATGGGATCATTGATACCAACAACAACAGGTTCTTTTCCAAATAATGTTCTCAAGGGGCTGGACTAAAAAAACTCTCTGCTGATCATGCATTATTGGTGTTGCTTCTCAGTGAGCTTCTGAGCATTGTTGTGGACATGCTGGCTACACTCATTCACTCCACACTTGTTCCCACCCCCGATCGAGATACATCTTCTTCCAATCCAGAACACATGGATGAAAATCGCAAATACTACCTCAGTTTTGTCAAGAAACTCAAAAAGGTCAGTACAGGTCCAGTTTAGGTGGATATTGTATGGTTTCATGGTTTTGAATTTCAGGTATTGGTTCATTCAAAAAAGGCCTTAATTGTATAACTACACTTTTAAAACTGAAAAAGCATAGGATACCTTATTGTTTTTTTAGCTGGAATGTACAGAATGCATAGAATGAGGTAAGCAGAGAAGGGGGAGGTTGCTTGAAGGAATACCATCCCCCACCAATAAAAGAAATGAAAGTGCAAAAGAGGACACTGCAATTTGTGCACCAGATGAGGTGGGCCAGACCCAATTCTCAATTCACATGTTATCCCTTGTCCTCACTCCCAAGCAAAGTGTATTTTCCCTCAAATGGTGCTTGAAAGGAACAAGAATGTGTGGGTTCATGCTAGTTTGTTACTATGACAAATCTGAGATCTTTGACCTTACTTACCTGAAACAGGCTCTCTTCATGTCACTGCTGAAAATGTTGATTTGAAGGTGCAGAACTTACTCTTTCTTTATTTTATTTGTTAAAATTAAGTTTTATCTCAGCTCCCTATCTCTCACAACTGGTGGCCATTACCTCCACTAATTGCCTCTATTCTTTCATGATAATAATGTCCAATGCCAGCTGCATAAACTTATTCTAGTAACAGCCCTTGTTCCACTCAATAGGAACTTCTTATATTATTAGCCAATTCATTGCTGGGGTTAGGTATTTCTGAAGCTCTAAATTGGAAAAGCATTGGAAGAGTCATTTATCTTACTCTTGGGTGTCTCTGCTTCTCCTAATTATCATTTTGCAGTTTCTGACATATATGGAAAAGGTGTGTTATGCTCTCATGCCTTTATACATGTCTATTGGTATTATACAGTGTTCTTGCTCACTCTAACTTGTCATTTTTAGAAGAGTCTGTGACTACATTGTTTCCAATGGAGTTACCATTCCCAATTCCATACACATTCTTGAAGGTGTTCTATTCTTTATGAAGGGGAACCCATTTCCTTATTCTAGGTTTAAAGTACAGTTAAGAATACTCTTAGAAATGAGCTTCATATAAGGTATAACTGGCTTACATTGTTCTTTGGATGAACTATAAAACTCTCATCCATAGAACAAAATCAGTTTTGAGAAATTTCAAGATTCCGAGATTAGTCCAGCAAAGATCAGACTTTTGGAGACAGGTCCTAGGTAATTCATGAAGTGTTTCCAGAGGTTTGAGGAGTGAGTGCTCTTGAACATTGAGTAGGTTGCAGGTAGAAGATGAAAATAACTTTTGACATTCTGGAGAAATGCAGTTGCTATGTTGTTCCCCATAATATCTCAGTCAAACTAGGAATGACCTCTCTGATCTTCAATGGAAAAAACTGAGATTTTTAGATTCCTGTAAAAAATGACTGATGAATGCTCATGTTTCAACCCTTGATGGGATCATCAGGCAATAACTGCACTTGAACATAGTCATTAATTTTGCTTTATGTGCTGTAACTCCTACAAACAAGACCTAGTGACATTATTGTTGACTGCACCACATGAATGGCAGGTATGACTTGGTAGCATGACATTTCTAGTCAGATGTCTTCCATGAAGATATCTGATGCTGGGTAAAGATTGATAATAATCCAGAACAATGCCCTGCTCACTGATTCAAGTCTCATTAAGGTTTTTCTGTATGGAAACAGCAACCAGATGTTGGGGAACGGGATCCAGCTGCAATGCGCCTCGTTAGACAGCTTCTTCCTTTCCCCAAGAAGATGGTGGAAGTCATCACTGTGGAACCTATGGGAACTCTCACTGACACCAAGGGTCATCGCATTGACTTCCATATGGACAAAAAACAGGTAAGCTGCAATTTTTAATTTTTTACATGGATCAGATGATGGAATAGTCCACCAAGGAGGGACTAAACCATATCATACAATGAATTCATGAGTTGTGCATAACAAAAAAAGAAGGAATGATGTAATATAGAAATTTAGGTCACCAAAGAGCACTAATGACATGGTTTCATGCATGTGGTGTTGATGTTTCAAAGGGATTACAAGTATCAGAGAGGCAGAGATTGAGCCCCTGGGAAGTATTTGAAGGACAGCGTACCCCAGCCCCTCTTGCATGGGCTTGGTTTGGTGCAACAAAAGTGGAACGGAAGTCCCTGCACTATGAAGAATCTCACCGCCTTCTTCTCCATCATGATCATAGTTTGAGGAAACCTGATTCCTATTTCTTAGAGCCACTCATTCTGCCTCCAGAAGATCTAGAACCCCCTCCTGAGAAGCAGGTCTGTCAGATCAAGTCATGTTCTTAGCTTTTATTAGTTTAGGACTCATATTCAAACCAATTGATCAATGATAGATGAAGGAAGAGGAGAAGAGTGGGAGGGACACTCCAGGCTCATCAGATTCCATGCGGGGCATTTCCAAAAGTGCCAAACGCCCAGCACGCAAGCGACGGCAGGGCCAGCAGAACCCACCACAGCAGCCACGAATCATGAATGGACAGGCTCCCATGGTAAGCCTATGAAAATACAGTACCTCCCTGCATGCCTCAAAGTATAAACCTCATTATTGAAAAAATTCATGAATTGAACAGCCGAGTCCAATGGGTGGACCAGGATTCCAGGGTGGATTCCAAGGAGGACCAGGAGGGATGTACCCTCAAGCCCCCCAACAACAGCAACAGCACTGGGGTTATGGTAGTCAACAGGGCCCACCTTATTACCCACCTCACATGGGTCCTCCAGGTCAGAAACAAGTGCTGTCTCAGTGGGTGCATTTAGTTCTGACCCATGTTATGATCCAAAGTGCTGAATGCTTTGTACAATGAGGCTTGGATCATAACCCAAGTCACAACTGAATACTCCTTGTCGTCCCTCTCTTCCTATGGGGTCATTAGTTGTTCCTATGGGGTCATTAGTTGTATGTGATGAGGAAAAGTCATTTCTGGATTGGACAGGACCAAGATTTGAGAGGCCTCCACTGTCACAGAGCAAACAGGCACTGTCAACAATGCTTAGGCAGAGACATCCACATGCATCTCCTTATATGGGTGCTGGTGGAGGAGCTCCCCAGCAACCTCCCTTTGCAAACATGAGAGGCATGGTGCCAACTGCACAACAGGCACCCATGATGAGGTACCCTCCATTCCAACGTCTTCTTGACAAAATATCAAATGGCATGGATTTTTTGGGATCATTGGGTTTTTTCTTCCAGGTTCCCACCTCAAGGCATGCCACAGATGAATCCAAGCATGCCACAAATGCAGCAAGGTAAGATGCTCCCTTCCAGCTGGAATATAATGAAAAGATTTGTATGATGCATTTTGTATCCTTTCATGGTCTCCCTCAAGGTGGAGCTGGAGGAGGAGGGTACATGGGAGGCTATGGAAATCAGGGCATGATGGGAGATGGGAATCAAGGGATGACAGGTGGATTTCCCCAGGCAGGATATTCTGGAGGGCCAGGACCTGGACCAGGACCAGGCCCAGGTCCTCCCATGCCCTTGAGAGGGAATCAACCACAGGCCTTCATGCAGGGCCCACGTCCTATGGGACCACAAGTCCAAAGATCCATGTGAGTCCATCCCTTTGCATATTATCAGTGCAGAAGCAAGGGCAATTCAATCCCATTTAGAACCTTTTTTTTTTCTTTCCATCCTGTGCAGGTCTCCATATGGAATGGGAAATGGAAATGTGAATGTAAATGTTCAAGGAGCTGGAATGTATCCTCCTCGTGGACCACCTATGGGTCCACCCCAGAATCCCATGCAGTTCCAAGTAAGTCTGTAGGCTGGACTTGACACACACCCTAGACTATATGAAGGCAAAATTTTACTGCAGTAATTTGAGCCTGAAATGTTTAGTTTCATTGATTTAAGGAAGTCATCACAAGATAAGGGATAATTTTTGACCATTTAAGTTGGTATAGCAAAGGTCAAGGAATCCTTTATCCTAGGTGAAAATGTTCTATTTGTCAAATTTCAGCAATAGAGTAGAGGCACCAGTTCATAGGCAGACACCTATTAGTGAGCAATGTTGTATTTTCTTCTAAATCAGCACCAGAGTATGATAGAGTCAATCTAATTGAGCTGTCATGGATAATAAATCAGATTTTTAGGATGGTAGGCTATATGAAACTGTTCACAAATATGCACTCATCTATAAACTAGTACCTGTACTTTACTACTTTTTACTGTATTGACTTTCCTCAGATGGAGAGACATCATTATTGGTATATCAGACCCCTTTTGATGAATATTAGTTTATCAGAAGTCAATAGAAATTCCTCATCAGTAATATCCTTGCCCATTAATACAGGGTGTCCCATAAGTCTGGAAACATAGGTTAAAGAATATGCTTGATATGTCCACCATTGTTGTCAATGCACATATTCAGTTATTGTATCCCCTCTTCCTGGACACTTTGGTTGACAGTCACTGTAATGTTGTGGCATCATTCCATGATGTGCTTCTTCAATGATGGATGTCCATTATCTTTTCTACATACACTGTTGGCTTCAGATGTCCCCAGAGGTAAAAGCCCATGGGAGTGAGGTCTGGAAACCTTGGCAGCCATTCAATTGAGCCTCATTGACGATCTATGAGTTGGGAAATTGTGTATTCAACCATACTCTGACTGAGAGGCCATAATGTACATAATTTAATGAATTACTGTTCCCAAACTTATGGGATACCTTGTAGAGTGTTCCTACAAGAGTTGGTTTTTCTTTTAATCTGTCACTTTGGAACTCTATTATTTGAATTCCCACTTTTCATTCTAGACATAACTTTGTTAAGGCCTGGAATTTTATTCAAAGTTAGTCATTCTGCATTTTTGACTGTGGAATTTTAGGTCATAAAAGTAACACTAATCACATACATGACAATAAATATGCATGCATTTTTACATAGAGATCCCACCCCAATTCATTTCAGATTGTTAGAGTGAATTGCTCAAAGTGAACAAGACAGTTTTGAAGATTCAGGTTGACAATAAGACCTGAAATGGCAAATCAGTTCAATTCATTTGATAATATTTAATCAGCCAATCCTAAACCTGCATAAATCATTTCTAAGCTCCAGTTGTTTATTTCAACATTCAATACAGTTACATTACTGTGTTTCTTTGGTGTAACAGATGCGACAGCAGCAGATGATGGCAATGCAGCAGCAACAGGCTCAGCCTCAACAGCAGCAGCAACAACAACAGCAGCAGCAGCAGCAGCAACAGCAGCAGCAAATGATGAATCCACAGCAGCAGGTACTGAGTTTATTTCTTCAGTGGTTCCATAAAAAACTTGCTGAACATTAAAGATATGTTGTTGTAAGACAAGGCTATTACAGCTTCCATTTAAGGTGTCTCTGCCACATTATTTCATAATGCCAGCCATGCAGTCAGAAACAAACTCTTACCTAAGGATACATAGGTTTTTGCCAATTCTATGCAGAGAGGGTAGCATTTAAAGGGGTGAGTAATGTGTCAAAATGACAACCCAATTTCTCAAATCAAAAGTATAACACATTTCCTCTCTAATCTGCACATACTATAGATCATTGGAAAGCTTGTAACAAGTACTAATTGAATTAAAAAATGGGTTTTTTAAATTGTCATATAATGACCTAATTGGGAGTGGTGAAAGGTTAATAAATTTAATTTAAAAATTAAAGTTAAAGTCAAGTTAAGAAATTGGTTATGCCTACATGGGAAAATCCCCCACCAGGTTTTTTCTCTCCCTATTAATGCTATCTTCTTGAAACCTTCAGGATACATTACTGTTGTAATGGTGTACAAATCTATTTGTTAACTTTTGAATATATTCACTTATGTTGCCATGGCAACTGTTTCATACTTTTACTACCTCCACTTTGTTGGTAAAAATAATTTTTTCCTGTATCTCTGGAACTGAACCTCCAATTTGAATTTCATTAGAGAGAATTGTAGCTTGTATACACCTCTACTAGCAAGCAAAATTTGATGTCAATAGGATGAGGCATTATGAAGAATAGCATAGGGGGCATATGTGGACACCACTAAAAGCTTGAAACTGAGAAAACCAGCATTAACTGTAGACTACTGACAATGTTCACCATAAGTTTTCTTGCAGTCTTTCTCATTTTTACCCAATATGAGACCAATTATAAGAAAATGGCCTTTAGATCTGCTAGTTGATACAGGAAGCGAAAGATGTAAAAATCTAAATAAAATAGTATTTTAAAGCTAAATTGATGTATTAATATAAATGTAATTAATATTAATATAATATTAAACTCCCTTAAATAAAATTGAGCTGCATACTGGGGAAAAGGAATCTTCTGCACAATGGCATTTTTGACTTTCTTCAAGTTGAGGCAGTTTAGCTTGAGAAGCCTCTTTTCTTCCAATATGGAAAACAATGAAAATTTTCTAATATTTTATTGCCAACTTAACAAAATTCTAACAGACCTAATGTTAAACTTTTTGTTTAGTTTTTTTTTTTCCATGGAAATTTATTCAACTTAAAACTTTCTATAAAGTTTAGGAGAGAAAGTACAGTCCTAAACTGAAAAATAATTATTTAATTCAGGACTGAAAATGTGCTTGTATGCAGTTTTGATGTGTATTTTGTATGGATGTTGGAATAGGGTGGATCAGGGCCCCAGGGAGGGATGATGCCCATGCGAGGGATGACCCCTGGCCCGGTTCCCAATATGCCTCAGGGTTCTCAACAAGGGATGTATTCCCAGCCATATTGAGGAGAATGGACAGGGGGTCCAGGGAAGGATGACCCCAGCACAATCCTAAGGACTGTCAATCTACAAAAATTCCTTGCCATGATGAGGAGAATCCAAGATCTCACCATCATCTATTTATTATTATTTTTTTAATGTTACTGCCTGAACATGTGTTTTTATGCATTGAAGAGACTTGCTATCTATTCCCAAATGACTTTTCTCATTTTTCTTCTGACAGTAGTATTTATGAGTGACAAGGAATGAAAGTTGAATCCATCAGTCACATAAAAAGCAGTTCCGGATGTTTGCAGAATCCATACTGCAAAATGGGATTGGAATATTGTCCCACCTTTCCCTGACTCATTGTCAGATTCCTGCTGGTTAAGCTCAGATTTATCCAATTTTGCTGTCCTAATGTAGGAATGGTTCAGGTGGACTACATGATTCTACATTTTTCATAAACAACAATATTGTGAGACCGCTCTGTTTTTGGCTTCAATAAATATTTTTTCAGTAATCTTTGACAGATTAAATGCAAACCTTTTTTGCACTTTCAGTTGATTGTGTTGATTTTCATCAAAGTTTTGCAAATGAAAATTCAGCCCAAAATCACCTTGAAATTTGTGATTACACTTGCAAAAAGTCAATTATCAGTTGTCAATAGACTGTAAGCAAGAAATTTTTCACTGTTCCTGCTTCTTTCCTACACCTAAAAATGCTGCAATGATAAACTGTTCCTACCATTCAATTGGTTGCATACCTCCAACTTTTCTCAGCATCCAGGGCTCAGGATACAAGGGTGTTGTGTGTGAATGAATTCTTATTCACTTTAAATTATTTTAAGTTCTTGATGTTGATGCATGCATCACTGCCTCATGCTCATCAAGGTGCAGTATTGAATTCACTTCAGGGCAATGTTTGACAGGGGCTTGATCAGACTTTATCTCAAAGCAACAGTTGAAAGCATAATTACTTTTTGTAAGTTAGGCTTTGTTGGGCAAGTTGGGATTGTTTCCTGCTTTCCACTTCCAAAAACTTGCCAGCAATCTGGACAAGCCAGTCAACCATTGTCATTGGCTTATTTGACTTGGTCACTGGCACATGCATAGACTCAGGTCCAGAGCAGTGTTCAAGTTTTTATTTAGAGGTGATTACAGCAATCAATGAAGGTAGCTAGTGGACTAATGGACTTATTGTGACTATAAGTGGACCATGATAAGAAAAGGGAAGTGAAAACTACTTAATTGATTTGACATGTAGTTTCCCCAAGTACAATGATATAGCTCTTGTTATATGTTGGCACAATGTGCAACCATATCATTAGTAGACAGCAATGAAGATTAGCTTCAAGCAGAAAAGTTGCATCATTTGAATATTTGAGTATGACAGAAATCCCAAATCAGTCTTTGAGTAACATGATTAGGATGGCTGTGGTTGGGCTTTAATTGTATTATCCAGTGTGATGATCTTAATGTATTCCGTGGTCCTGATTTGTGCTTCATGATTTTCTTTGTTCCTAAAGGGATTTTAAAATAGGTTCATGCCTGGGAATGGGTTAATTGATATATGAGGTGTGATCATAAAATTCCCTGACTGATTTTTTAAAAATAAAAACTAAAGGTCATACCTGTTAATCAAATTTATCCTCTTCAAAGTACTCTCCTTCTGATTGTACACAGTGATTCCAGCAGTCCTATCACTTGTTGAAGCACCTCTGGTACTCTTCTTTCAGGATGTTGTTCAATTCCTGTGTTGCGCTTTGTATGATCGCTGGCACTTCCTGAAATATCTTTCCCCTTAGGGTACTTTTCAGTTTGGGGAACACAAAAAAGTCACTTGATGCTAAATCCAGTGAATAAGGTGGGTTGGAAACCAGTGGAATTTTGTGCTTGACCAAGAATTCCCTTATGGAGAGTGCCAAGTGAGCCGGTGCATTGTCATGATGCAACATCCATGAACCTGACTTCCATTTTTCAGGCCATTTCTGTTGAACTCCATCTCTTAGACATTTCGGAATGTCCAAATAAAACACCTGATTGACTCTCTGTCCTTGTGGGACAAACTCATGATGCAAGGTCGTTTTTCCAAGTTTCACACAGAACTTGATGCACACACGTTGCTCCATAACGTCAGCCATTTCACACCGCAATGATCACTATAAACATGTCCACACAAAACAGTGTTATACTCACCACTGATACGAAGTAGCAACTTCCCGCTGTAGGGGTGAAGTCAGCTAGTGTTAACAACAAACTCTGTTGTCTATTATCCCTGTGGTGTTTTTTATTGTTGTACCATAAATTCAGTCCAGGAACATTATGATCAGACCTCCTACATACAAGGCACTTTTATCCCTGTTGAAACATAAGGTTAGATATATTTCTCCTGTCATGGATAGATATTCTGGGAAACTAGACACATTGACAACATGGAGGAAACAGAAGAGGAAGAGCAACAAGCTCAAGAAGAAGAGCAACAAGAGCTCAGAAGAGCAAGCTCTTCTGAACTCCCAGAACAAAGGGAAACTCTTCATCCTTCCCCTTCTACTTACTTTGCTGATCAAAGAATTCACATCCCTGATGCTGAAAGTGTAAGCACTCCCTTGTCTCCCATGTGTTCTCTTGGAAGCCTCCTTCCTGAGAATCCTGGACAATTTTTCTTCCTTTGACAGAGTAAGTTCAGTTGGAGGAAGTTATGGGCATTCACTGGACCTGGGTTCCTCATGAGTATTGCATACCTGGACCCTGGAAACATTGAATCTGACCTTCAATCTGGTGTTGTAGCAAAATACAGAGTGAGCACTATTGCTTTTTCTGGAGAATGCAATTGTTAAAGTAAGATTGTAGAAGTAAATTTAAGTGATGATATAAAATAATGGAATATGAGAAATGATTGTTGTAATGAGAGAAAATTAAATGTTACTGTTGTGCATTGAATAACTCATTATTGAAAAAAAATTCCTTTCAGTTTGAAAATGTCAATGAATGTCCTTGGGATTGTGAGACAGTTGCTGTGGGTTCTGTTGTGGGCAACAGTGCTGGGTCTGATGATGCAGCGACTGGCAGCTCGCCTAGGGGTTGTGACTGGAATGCACCTGGCTGAGCTGTGTTACTTGGCATACCCACGTGTCCCACGATACCTCCTCTGGATCATGGTTGAGATTGCCATAATTGGTTCTGATATGCAGGAAGTCATTGGCACAGCCCTTGCAATCCATCTTCTCTCCCTCAAGAGGTCTCTTGACATCAATCCTGATTTCTACTGATTCATTTTTGAGCAAATATTGGATACTGGATGTCTACTGATATTTACTGGATGGTCCAAACAGAGATCCCAACTTTACATGGCTGGAGATGAAATGCCAAACTAGGAATCAGCAGGAAAGTTATTGGATTTTGTATCCAACACATGTAGTGTAGGTGGTTTTACAAAACTTTTATTGAAACTTGGGGCTTAACCTATTGACGCCGGGAACCGTAATATTACGTTTTTAAACCCATAGTGTTCTGGAGTCGCTGGGCGTGAATGTGTTAAGACATAAATGACAGCTTCTTCTCCACATCTTATCAAGGGAATGAGTATGTGAGTGTGTCAGTGTGCAAGTCTTGGCCCCATTCTCCATTTGCAATTGGACTACCACTACCTCATTCTGGCCAAACAAGCAGTTGTTGATCAACTCGTTTTCATTTGATGAGGCTTAGAAAAAAAACATGACTTGAATTCTGTATGAAGAACTTACATTTAATTCAAAAATTTATGCAAGCCCCTATACAGTATATATGGCACCCTGTAAATTACTTGTTGATACCTCATGGTTTTCCATCTACAGCCATTTTCACTGAAATTGAGAATGCTTACCTGAGGTTGTCCAGGACTTAGCCTGAGCCAAATTGTTTCACACATGAACTATTTTCATTTTCATATAGTGATCTCATGAGCACTGTTCCCTGCTTTTTGTTATTAATCCTGTCTAATTAGGGCAAGGCAGGTATCGTCACATGAACTACAGGTACTCCTCCTGCAACTGGAGGTGTGTAGTTTCACTTTGCACTCAGCCTCTCTTCCAACCTTTCTCATGAAATTGGAGGTCAGTATGTGATTCCTCCAGTTTGCTCAAGTCAGATGTCAGGCTGGAGCTCTCCCTAACTGTGTTCAGTGACTTAATGCCATGCCTCTTTTTTTTTTATTACCAAAGGCCCCATGTGTAGGACAGGATTCAATTAGGCTTATCAAATGAGCCATTTGGCTGGATATTCAGCACAATAACTGGATCAGATATATCCTGAAATGGCTGGATAGGCTAGTTGCTGAATAGTGAGTTAAAGGATATCCAGTGCATCCCTACCGGTTTCATGCCTTTTTGCTGAATGCATGGGCAGCCAAACCTTGTATTTGTTCAGCTAACTGCACAAGCAGATATCAAATGTTCCTGAAATTTCAAAGACCAGTGTGCTTGCTTTTCCTCATCCATGGTGACATGAAGCTGCTGTAAGTATTCCAGAAATTTTCTAAACAATTGATTCATGCTAATATGAAATAGTGAAGGAGAGAATCAAGCTTTTTCATATGGGCTCAAGTAGCTGTGAAAAGTGGAGTAACATTCTGTCTAATATGGATTGAATGGGTGATGAGTGATGCTCAGAGGGCTCCTGCAATACTGAAAGAGGCAATTCTTACTCTTTCAAGCTTCTCTGAGTCAGCTTAAAACTGCATCGTTCAATTGGTCAAAAGTATTATGCAGAGCTGAGGAACAGAACAGTGGTCTTCAGCAAGGAGCCATTTTGAGTTAGGAGACCTTAAAGATTTCATAAGCTTGGTGATTACTCGCAGAAACCATTTTAAGGAGCAGAATGACTATGAATGCCTTTCATGTGAATTGAATATTATATATATTTCAATATATTGACTTTTATTGGCTTGAATTCTGATTTCACATGTAAATTCTCATATTGACTCTGAAGATATATTGTGCTAATTGCAGGGTACCAATCTGGGCTGGTGTTCTGATCACAATTGTAGACACCTTCAGCTTCCTTTTGCTTGACCGATATGGACTGAGGAAATTGGAAGCCTTCTTTGGTCTTCTCATAACCACCATGGCCTTCACATTTGGTTATGAGGTATCTTACCTGTTTCTCTTTTATTATAATTATGAATCATGTGTATGTAATTATTATGATCCATTCTTCAGTATATTGTAGTCTGGCCAGAACAAGGTGCATTGCTTGAGGGAATGTTTGTGCCATGGTGTGCACATTGTGGACGCGAGGCTGTCCTCCAAGCTGTTGGGATAGTTGGTGCTGTAATCATGCCTCATAATCTTTATCTTCATTCTGCTCTTGTCAAGGTAAATCCTTTCAGGCCATTTCTGCTGGTCATATGGACCAGGGTAGCTCCCTGTTTTCACCTGAAAATTAAAAAAATGCCTCCTGTGTTTTTGCATGAACCCTCTTAGTTTTTCTATCTAGTAGCTGAAAAGTTTCATTTAAAAAGTAAGACAAGAATGATTGGAGAAAAACTCTCAAGCAACTGCCAACAATCAAAAATCACTGTCACCATCAGCTCCGAGGTCACAAATCAATTTCCATTCTTCTACCATAAGTATGCCAACCAAAGTATTTCCACCTTCCCATTCCCCTGGTGATTTCACAGTTTAGACAGAACAAGTGCAAAATTTGAAAGGATCATGTCAACCATGGCATCTGCTGTGTCTGTGCAGTTTTTTCAAGAGAGCACAAAACTGCAAGCCCTACATTGTCATTCTTCTCAGCATCCCTACCCAAATTCCCAATCCCTACTATTTTTGTTTGCCTTAATAGCACTTTTCAGCCCTACATTGAAATTTTTAAAATTTTAGTTATATATCATAGTCTCATGGTTTGAGTTCAACTTGTATGAAAGGTAAATTCATTCTAGTGACTGAAAATCACCTTGAGATTTTGTCCAATTTAGCTCAATTTTGTTGGCAAAAAAAGGCAAAAACATGCTCACTTGAGTTTTTAACTTTCTTCAGTTACATTAAAAGTTCTAAAATTTATTTGGTTTTTTCAAACTCTGCAACAAGCTGCAAAGATATGGGAAATTATGTCTCTAAGTTTTAATGAAATCATGTTGCAATTCATGCTTATGCAGTTAAGAAAGGAATGTGAGAAAGAAGCCAAGAATACTTTTTCTGCAATGCAGAGTAGGGATGTGAACCGGAATCGAAAGACAGAGGTTCGAGAAGCCAACCGCTATTTCTTTATTGAGGCCTTTGTTGCCCTGACAGCATCATTCATCATCAATGTCTTCGTGGTTGCCGTCTTTGCATCAGGGCTGTCTGGCGTCACCAATACAGAAGCTGTAAGTCTTCCTTTCTCTGTCCTTCTGCTGTTTCCACTCTTGTCATTGTTTTGGGTGAATGAAGTCACTGCTCATGTGAAGCAATCCTATGTTGGAAGCTTGAAAATCAGATTCAATCACTTGATGAAGAAAGCTGTAAAGTTTGAATATCAATGAATTCTCATGCAAAACTGCTATTCCAGTTGAATAGAACAATCTTCCAGTTACCACCACAAAAATGCAGATCTACAACCCTACTGAAATATCTTGGCTCTCTCAGACTGTCTTTCAGGGATCAGGAATATGAATGTGTCCACCTTAGATAACCTAGAATTGCTAAATTTGTAACTTTTTGGAAGAAAAGTTGATGAAATGATCCTAATCTTGATGCTAAGTCTTTTACTGACAATAGCAAATGAGTTCTTATTAACTATAGAAGGGTTTATGTAAGGTGGAATTTCTCTGCTCGTGCCCTAAAAGCAGGTCATGTGATCTTTTTTTTTCTCTCATTTTCCCTCATCTTAGAGGGAGACCTGTGAGAAGAGGAATATGAGCATTGGGATAGATGACTCTGTCTTTCCTGTGAGTCTTCATTTTCCCTCCATCAACCTCATTCACCATGGACTCTTGTGTATTTGGTACCTAGGTCTAACATAGGGTTCATTTCTTTGATGAAAATCATAACAGAAATCTTTACTATCATTAAGACTTTTGACCCTGGTGATTTCATCGCACTAAGGGCATAGGATGTCATATGATGGCACTAGGACTCAAAGTGATTAATTGATTATTTGCTGATCAAGACAGACATCTAATAAAGGTTTGACAGCAAATAATAAGTATTAAAAAGACAAAAGCAAATGTACCTTATAGTGATTTTTTTTAAATCAGCTATGTCTGGAGCTGGGTTTGTCTGCTCTTACCTTTTCTGTTCAGGAAAGCAAATTGAGAATTTCTTCTTTTACTATTTCAAGAACAAGTTCCTCTATGGCAGTAGTCAGCAACCTGTGGCCTGCGGGCTGGATGCAGCCTGTGAAGAGATTCCATCTGGCCCACCACGACCTTGGTCGGGCGGTGCTAAATTTTTCTTGTATGAATCCATGGAACCTGGAAAAATGTATCTCTTCCTCACAGCAGCCTCATTTATCATTGGAATGGAGAGAAAATAGTTTCAATGTTCTGTGCTCTTATTGCCTGCTGATGACCTGTGATTATTTGATAATCGAACCATTACGAACCATCGCCAGCGCGTGAGGTGGCGGGTTTGCAAATGCAGAGGACTTGGTTCAGAAGACTCAGCTTCGGGAAATACTAATCCTTCATCTCTTGCACCAGCACGTGTACCCACCGTAATGTCTGTCCTTTGTTTTATGTTGATGGAATGAGAGGGCAGGACATGTTGGTCATGCTGCACTTTTCTTGGCTTTCCAAGGCTGGTGGCAGATGTTTTCATCTTCTGTTTTATTGTGAACCTGCCCTTCCACCATGTCGCTATCAAAATCAGTAAAAATAAAGCGAAAAGTTAGCTTCAAGTGTCGGGTGTTCATTGACCAGCAGGCACACAATTACCTGTTTGTGCAGTTTGTCTTGTCTGTAAGGAGAGCGTTTCGGTGTTCAAGGGAAATATCAGTAGGTGGCATTACAAAGCACATCATAAAGGCAAGTGTGACTCTCTGAAAGGCCAGATCAGGACTGACAAGACAGAAGCTCTGAAAAAGACCTTGTTTGCTCAGTGGAGTATTTTCAAGATGAACGTGCAGGAAAACCTGGCTCCAGTTCGAGCTAGTTATCATGGCATTAAATTATTAGCAGAGGCACAGAGTTCACAGAGAGACCAACATGCCGAGATGTTGGTCTTAAACCAAAAATTGCTTGTATTATGGTTTAGAAATGTGAGAATCGGACATTGTGGTATCATCAAGTTTTATGTTCAGCAATATTGTATCTGATTCTATTATTAAAGTGTGTGTATTATACACATGTTTCAATTCAAATGAACATAAATGCAAAAAATCTTAATTTGGAAACCTCAGAGAGCACTTAAACCTGCACCTCTCAGCACTACTTCTCAGTTATCGCTCTGCAGCCCACGACCTGACTGTACTATGATGATCCAGCCCACCTCTACCAAAAGGTTGCCAACCACTGCTCTATGGGATGCCCTGGTTACAGTCAAACTCATGAGAGATAGAGCTAATGTACATCTTAAGACTATAACAAAGGGAAACATGGCAGAACATACTCATAATGCCAAAATATGCACTCTGCCTAAAAATTTGCAATTAAATGCACCATTGAAATTTTAGCATGCTATGCACCTAATGTCTAACGTGGTATAATGGTTTTTCATCAATTACTGTTGGAAAGGGAAATATGCTTTTGCATGCACATCTCACATCACTTTCATTTTTTGCACAATAATATCAAAATAGCTCTTGCAATGAGGAAAACTTTGGAGAAATGGTTAAATTTTATTCTGAATATTCATAGTCCAGATAGCTATAGAAAATCTCTTCCTAACTTACTCAGCAATTCCAGAATAATCAGCTGGCAACATATAATGCAGGTTTTATTTTCCTCTCCATTTCATGTCATAATCTAAGGAATTATTAAAACTGATCAGAATAAAAAGACAAAATTAAAATTGAGTTTTGAAAGAACTTAGATGACCAGAATGTAATAAGTTGGCTTAGACATAGTGTGACATGCATTTGGATTTTGACTTTCCTTGTTTTAAAGTGATTTAAATGTCTCTGCAACTCAAAAAGCATGTGATTATCCCTCACTTCGTTATCATTATGAAAACAGCATAGCAAAATTCATAACCCTTGTGGATTTGCATAACACTAGCTGAAAAAATTAATTTATGTATTTCAATAATTATAGCTCATCTTGAAAGAAAGGCATGTTGCAGCACCTCCCTCAATTGCTTTTCCATGACAACTAATACCATGTTTTAGCACAACAATGAGACTGTTGAAGCGAATCTGTACCGTGGAGGGATTTTCCTTGGCTGCCGCTTTGGTCCAGCGGCATTGTACATTTGGGCCATTGGACTGCTTGCTGCTGGCCAGTCTTCCACCATGACCGGGACTTATGCTGGACAGTTTGTCATGGAGGTAAGTTTCACATCCCTCTTACTTGGAACAAGGTTCACACACACTTGAAAAGACTTTGAACATTCTGAGAAATAGAAGTGAGGTTTAAAAGTGAGGGAAATGTAAGGAATTACATCTGATATAGCTTGAGAATGCAGTTGAGAATAGTATGGGGAAGATTGAAGTTTTCCATTGGAGTGTGATATTTTATATGGGAAGGTTTCAAAATCAGTTGGAAAAGTGTAGGAAATTGCTTCTCAGAAATTTACAGAGAGATCAATGTATCGTGGTGGATGTGTTGCAGGGCTTCCTGAACCTAGAATGGACCCGGTGGAAGCGAGTTCTGTTGACACGAAGCATTGCAATTGTGCCCACTTTCCTTGTTGCATTTCTGGAGTCTCTTCAGGATCTGAGTCACATGAATGATTTCCTAAATGCAATCATGAGTCTCCAACTCCCATTTGCTCTTCTGCCAACCATCACCCTCACATCCTCCTATGCAATCATGGGAGAGTTCCGCAATAGTCTGTATGCATCGATTGCCATGTTCTTGCATTGCTCAGCCACTCTGAATCCAGTTCTGTTTATCATTTCTTCTGTGATGCACCAGTTTTATACACTACCAGCAAAAAGAATAGGAACACCTAGAATGAGCAATGTTACAGCCACCAAACTTTGGCCATTTGTTGGAGACAATGAGGTATGCAAATGATCGATCACTCTCCAATATTTGACATCTTATTGTGATGCAATAATGTGATGGCCATATGATATGGAAGGGTATAAAATCGCTGGGAGCATCATTTGGCAGCTTGCATCGCAGCCGGAGGAGGCTGTACAGAGTACTAACTGTGGTGCAGTCACGTTATTGTATCATGCCACCAGGATGCCAGGGATTGGAGAGTGATCGATCATTTGCATACCTCACTGTCTCCAATTAATTGTTTATACTTGGAGTTCCTATTTATTTATTTTTTACCAACAGTGTATATAGTCCATATTTCTCAATGTGGATGTGGGTGATATGGCCACATTGTTCCCAGCTGATTCCAACAAAATATTGCAAAATCATTCAGACAGCATCCAAATCTGTTATATTCTGTTGGCTCACCAGCACATTAAAGTTGAGCTATTAGTTGTACTCTACCTTCCTGTCCTTACACAAGTGGGAGAAGAGGTCACAGTTCACCATGGGGATTGAATGTTAATGAAATGGCTACATAACCTCCTGCTCTTAATCTTCCATTTCTGTCACATCAGTGTTAAAACAGTCGTGGTTGGTTTGATGACCATCCTGCACACTTTCAGAAGATTTTGGATTGTCTTGTTGAGCACAATTGGAGATCAGATGAGGACTGAAGCAGGATGGTAATAGGTGGAACTGAATTCAGTGTGACTGTCCCCTGAAGTAACTTATGGACACAATGTGAATGAGATATGGCCCTCTTTCTAGGTTCACACGAGTGGCTGCTTGCCTCCTTGCATTGGTTGTGATAGGAATCAACCTCTTCTTTGTTGGAGACTATGTCGGGCAGAGATTGGTTGGATTGGGTGCCCAGGGATGGTGGATATACATTCTCTTCACTATCTTCACTCTTTTCTACATCCTCTTCTGCCTCTACCTGGTTCTCTTCCTGGCCCACTCTCTTGGTGCCAGGATCCCTGTAAGTTCCCTCAAGACCTTTCCATTCACAGTAGCCATAATTGAAAGAGCCATGCTACTGATAAGCATCTCCGTGAAATCATTTGTTCAGATTCAGCCATAATTTTCTGTATGGTCACTATTTCATGGTTTATTTTCATAAGAATGTTTATATACATTCTGGAAATATCTCAATATTATTGCTTCATTAGTGGAGGGTATCCATTCATCAAATAATAAGAACTCCCTAGTCTCTCTGAAGAAGCATCCCAGCTCATTAAAGATGACAAGTAAAACTCACCTGATAGCCCTCTTTCTGCCAGATTTGCAGAGAAAACACTGCATGCGATAAATTTTCTCCAGCTGAACCTATTTTGATGAATATCCATTGTATGAAATATGCCTAAATCACCAATCTTGACAGAACCCCCCTCATTTTGGTTTACCTACAATTTCTGCTTGATCTGGAAGATTATCTTTGTATCAAGAACTTCAGATGACAGGGCTTAGGATTTCTAAAGTGCCAAACTCCTCAAATGCTAGAGCTTGGAGGTTCATATTTATTTTAGCAAAGAGTATAACCTTGAATAAATGAGGCTGCTAGTTGATCATGAAAATGATGCACAGCAATTCCCACTCTTCCTCTGATGGCTTCTTTATTGAAGAACTTGAAGACAGAGTAGGACCTATAGCAGAAGGAATTAATCAAGCATATATTATATGAAGCATGTAAATTAGAAAAATTTGGAGGATGTGAAATGTGAAATGCAAAAAAAACTTTGTAATTGATAGTGGCGCATGACTCCTACTCAGGACCATCAGAAGATGTTCCTTTTAAAAGTAGGCATGCAATTTCAGGTGCCCTTTTGCATAAATTTGGTATGTGAAAAAAGAAGGGAAAAAAGCTTAAGTATGATTGTCCACTCTCCACTTGCTGACATTGTCCATTGCTAAACATGGCACTGAATATGAGGAAAGGTTTAGCATACTAATTGACCAATAATTTGTGCAAGTTCTGACAATTATTGGGTATTTTCTACATAGGCCTGCAGCCAGCAGAAGAGAAGTTTATGCAGAACCAGAATCAGTCTCTGCACCATTTAGTAGTGCTTCCACAAATTTTGGCTGAGTTGTTTTCAGCATTAAGTAGATGCAATAGCCTCATTATGGAATATCTTTTTTTGAGAAATTGGAGAATTTGAGCAAGTTTTCTATTTAAAAAATTATAGTGGTATTATCATACACACTTCAGTGCCCTCAGATGTGCCTGACTTTTACAGTTTTATTAGTGACTGATCAGGTGCATTTTAAAAAAAAGACAAGGAATCTGCCTCATGCCTTATGTGCCTCATTCCAGAAACTTGTAGTTGCTTATGCTAAAATTGCTGATAGATTGTGCTTGATTGCTTCAGGGTCTGCAGAGGTGTCTAGAGCCCTCTGTGCCTTTTGTTCTCACCACCACGCCTGAATCCTGAATCTGCCTTGCCTCCTCCCTCTGGGTATGTTTGTCTGTGTCTATATTAGAGATGCAACGATATTGAATTTTGGCCAATATCTGATATACCGATAATTCCGATATTGGAAAAGAACCGATACTGATATCTATATCTACATTTATACACATTCAGGGTAGATTTTGAATAGTGAACTATCCGATAATGCTGCTTTATTTCCAGGAAATATAATGTATTTTCCCCAGAATAAAGCTACATTATCAGATAGTTCTCTGTTCAAAAAGCCACCCTGAGGCATTAACCCCTCCACTGTTAAGTTTTACTTGGGACCAGGTCTGATGGGTAAAGCTTGAGGTGCACCAGTGGTGCACCTTATGCTTTTGCCATTTCTCCAATAGTGAGAAGAAATGTTTTCTTCATTCTGAAGCCAGGCTCTGATGTGGATTTTTAAAATATTACATTGCATTTGCATCAGGCATTTTCTTTCCTATGTTCCATCCTAGAACTTGCAATAAGGTGGAATAGCAATTACTTCTTTTTTTTTTCAAAGTAGCACTCAGTTCAGAAAATGTCAAGAATGTCAAAGTTCACTTCTTCATACTTCTTCTCTAATGGACATCCAGACAGACATGACTGACAAATTGTTAACACATAAGATAATTTGCCATGAAGATGAAATGCTAACATAACTGCTTTTCAGGAAAATTTCTAAGGCAATCAATCATATTTATTATATTACGGAAGTTTTCATCTACAAAGATATATATGTAATACATAATATTATAAATATTCAAATATAAATTATGACAAATATTTTAAATCAATTAGGGTTGCACCGACGTATTGACAACCACAGAGATTGGCCTCTGGTGTTGCACCAATGACGCCATGGCTACGGTAAGGTTGGAAGCTGTCGATGCCAAGCCTGAAGGAGGGGAAAATGCAAAAAAAAAACTACATGAGTGCGTGAGCGCAGCTTGTTGCCGGCCCTCCTGTCTCACTGAAAGCCTCCCTGCCGCCCTCTCCCAGAAAAAAATATCGATTTGATTATACGAGGGGTCCTCGATTTACGTCGTTTCGATATAACGTCGCTAACATGTACCCCATATACGTTGCGTCGTTCCGATATAACGTCGTAGATCGAGAATTTCCTGTATATAATTTAGTCCATGGGAAAATAGGTTTCGTTTTACGTCGTGTTTTCCGGGAACGCATCCACGACGTAAATCGAGGACTTACTGTATTTCAGCCCGATTGTAGAAACTGGTGGAGGAAAATAGCCGTTAAGACTGTGAAATCATTGCATCTCCTTTTATGCTGTGCATTAGCGAGCGGTGTCGTTAAGCGCTCATATCAGCAATAGGTAACCTTGACTGACACTTGAGCCCCAGTGACGGACGCAGACAGACAAGCTGGAAAGGTCTAAAAGTGGTCTCTATCGTTTTCAGGACTCATTGATTAGTATCACAAGCCTTCCAAATAGGCCTATTTGAATTCGTATGCGATTTCATGCTACTTTCGCAATCTATAAAGTATAGATCATAATCAGCTCCGGCTCCGGCACCGGTCATTGGGTATGAGTTCAAAATGCGCCATCAGTCTATCGGTCAAATGTGGTCATTGGCACAGTCCTAACATGAATATAAAGATGATAAAATTCTTGAAAATCGGTGGTTCCAAATGGAACCTCTGGGCACGAAAGAGTTGAAATCAGACTAACATGAATATAAAGATGATAAAATTCTTGAAAATCGATGGTTCCAAATGGAACCTCTGGGCACGAAAGAGTTGAAGTCAGACTATAGTCTAGTGATTTTTGTACCGAGGTTTTGGGATCCATCTAGGCCTGGGTTCTTCGCGCTAACACAAGCGATGTCTATTTTCGCAGAAAGTACGGAGTAGGCTATGGTAGTGGCATTAGGCTGAGTTGAATAGATGACGCTTCTCATCTCTCTCTTGGGTGACTGGGTAATGAGCTTATGTCCCGTGACAGGGTGGCCTGGGCTCGAACCTAGCTAAGTCAAGTGTATATTTCCTAGTTCAAGCGCCAGCGTGCTTGGGAAGGGAGTGCCCGAGCACGGAGCGCTCCCATCTGTAGTTGTGGGACGTTGAGGAACCGCGGCAGTGAAGGTCGAATCCCAGGGGAATCCCAATCCAAAGGGGAAAAATGCTTACATTTTCAGCAGCCTAATACTTCTATTTTTTTTAATGAAAACATGTCATTTAGGCATTTTCAACCTTCTGCAGTGTTTTCACTTGATTTGGACATTTTTTCACTTGACTTCGACACTCATGCATGAGGAACGTCCCATGAACGTGTGTTCGAGTCAAGTGAAACGTTGCCTAATGGGAAAAAGGAGAGAATATTCATCATTCGCTTTACATACTTAGCGTTTGGCATACAGAACGTGTGTTCGAGTCAAGTGAAATGTTGTCTAATGAGAAAAAGGAGAGAATATTCATCATTCGCTTTACATACTTAGCGTTTGGCATACTTCAGGTATAATTTCAATATCGGTTATCAGCAGGTCATATATCGTTTTAGGCCGATATATCGGAATCATCCAATATCGCCATCACCCAATATCGGCCGATACCGATAACCGATAAAATATCGTTGCATCTCTAATTGTATATGCATCCTTGATGCTCACTTGTGTGTGTTTGGTTTGTGTGATCTTGATTCTTCCCTTTGCTCTACTTCTCATGTCTTTTCATGAATTGAGACTGGCAAGGCGCAATGATAAAAAATTGCCCCTAGCCAGTTGCAGTTTTTATTTGAAAATTCTTTGATTGACAAATGAATTAAGCATTAATTGTGGTTTGGTGTCTTTCCTCCCAGCTCTCAAGATGGCTGATTGGATCAAAGGTTTATTCCTTTCCCAAATATGGCTTCCAACACCAACCTGAATCCATTCGGTATGTGCAAACACAGTCTTGCTGCCTTTCAGTAAAATGCCGAGAATCATCTATCAGATAAAAACAATTTCTTGAATTAAATCAATCAGGTTATTGAGTCTGACACATGTGTGGACGAATCCAATGTATCAAGACTCAGGGAATGAGTCTGGCACATCTTCGGATCAAGAACTATGGGAGAATCCCCTCTACAATATCTACTTTTCATGAGGATCATCAGGATATTTTACTTTGCATATTTGCTTTATCATAGCATCACAATGATACTCATCAGCTCTATGTGAGTGGTGATTTGAGTGCAATGAATGCTCAGTTTCTAAGTAATGCCATGGGTCCTATACCCCATGATAGATCTTCTCTGTACCATAATTTGGCTAAGTTTTCACTTCATCACTGACATTAATTTCATTTTGATATGTGGCCTTGTTCTAATTGCTTATCTGTATCATATTTGGCCTGCTTTAGCCATGATTCAATCGCTCCCTACCTAGTCAGTCTCCACTAATTTCATTTGAAAGTTATACAATTGATTCAAAACAAATCTGAAACTGTTCACACACTTTAACCTCATAGATTTTGATATGTTCAATGTTTTTTGGAAAGATGTTCCATGAGATTGTTCAGGTTATCATGATGAAACTATATAATCGTCTGAGTGCCTGCTTGTATTTGTTTATGCTGAATTTCACTCTGATCTCAAGAATATTAACTGGATAAAGAGATTATTTTTTGCACAAAGATATCTTTTTAAGAATAAGATTTAAAAGACTCCTGAAGGTTAGGCAACAGTAACCTGTTGTAACCTTTAATTTTGACCAATTAATTTATGTATCTATATTTACTGAAGCAGTCTTTTGATAGATAAATAGTGCACGAATTGAATCATATTTAATTGCAGACACTTTCCCATACCCATGCTCAATTATTGTCTCTATGGTGAGCCGCCTTGTTTGCGAATGGCTTAGCATGTAATAGTCAGCTTGGTTGATGGGACCTTGATGTCTGAAGTTTCACATTGTGATATGCAAATGATCCCTTCCATCCATTGTGGAGAACAAGGAAGGTATTAGTTTTTGTTTTGACTGGTTGTGTATCTCAATTGGCTTGCAAGTCGTAAGGTGCTTTCGTGTCTGTAAAGGTGCTTTCATAGTTGCACTGTTGAAATGGTAGCCAAAACCACTTTCAAAGGCTGTGATAATGATGAGAAATTCCTCTCAATTTGCCAGTTGTAAGAGCTAAACAGTCTCTGTGAATGTGTTCTGCACAATTAAAGAAATGTTGCTTTATGTTTGAATTCTGTGTGATCTTTGAACTTGCATTCATTTTCATCCTTGTGGATTTACTGAAGGATTCAATAGTCAGAAACCATTTTCTGTACACTCCCTTTGTTGAAAGAAGTTCAGGAACCTTTCAGAATCTCTACTGTGTCCAGATTATTTCTCTATATTTTCTTTACAGGGTATGGCAAAAAAAAAGACCTGTGACTTTTAAGTTGCATATCTCAGTTCTCACTAGGGTTACTTTTACAAAGTTTGCAGTGTGCATAGATTGATACATTCCCAGCAGACTTAAGAAATTTCATCAAAATTGATGTTGCCAAAGCAAGGTCATGATTGATTATTCATAAGAAATCAGATATTGAAAATGGACAAGGGACTCCTCCAATTCCTTATGAGTGCCTCATTCTCCAGTGATGACCAAAGGAACATCTGATTGGAGCAAGCTCAATTTTGATACCTGATGATTCATGTCAGCAATTGGAATAAGGCTTCTTTTTAATCATTGTTCCTTGTCTTGTCCTGGAGCAAAGAATTTGGAAGAAATTTCAAAGATGCCATGGAAACATATCTGTCTATGCACAGTGAATGTTTTGCAAAAAAAAAAGACTTTTATTGGTGTAGAGACATATTGGTTAAAAGTCTTTGATCTTCTTCTTTGCTATGCCCTGTATATATTGTTCACAAGGGATGATGTGTGTACAAATGGAACACTGGTGCATATGAGGTTGAATTAACAGGTGGTTGTTTAAGCTTGACCTAAAGTGAGGACAGAGCAGGAGGGGGAGAAAGAGAAACATGATTATTAGAATGAAAAACGGTGCTAACAAGGATAAAGAGAATGAGTCAAAGTGTTCAGAAATTATTTCAGAACCTGTATTAAGTGGAGCACAATGCGACAGCCTTGGGCTAAGTTGTGGCCTTGTAGGATTGCAGAGAGGCAGTACAACATTTTTTAGATGTCTATCGCTAGAATCCACTGGTTTGAGCTTTTTGAGTTGTGCAAATGCCAAGTTCTCTCTTGATCAATCATGCGACATGTCATTGAGGTAAAATACCCTGTGATGAACCACAGTGTATAAAAATTCATATAACTAAGCATGCATGGCAAACATATCCCTGTGGTGACATTGGTTACCTTCCTGCAAATGCATTCTCATGCTTAGTTATTGGAATTTTTATGTGTTATGGTCCATTGCTAGGAATAAGCCTTTCACTCAGCAATTTACCGCTCGATGTTCCTAGATGAAAAGACAATTGCTACCATACCAGAATCATCACGGAGTGGGCGGGGCTGCTAGACATTGCTGGATTCCTTTGCTTTGACACAAGGCATAGAAAGGTCAGGCAAATCGCATGAGGTTTAGTGTACGACAGCTGAATAGAAACACACTCTTTTTCCTATCTATAGGTTAACTGCAGAGAGCACGTTTCACTGTATTCATAGCCCTCAAGTAATGATTATTTATGAATTCATTACTTTTTCTCATTTGAGTTTTGTTCCAAATTGCCTGGATTTAAAGTTGAACGGAGATTAGAAATTGCTTTTTTCACAAAGTCCGTCTGCTCCCTATTGGAGAGGCTGTGCACAATTCTGTTGTACAGCCTGGGCTTTCACTACGGTGTGACCATCACGTCTGATATATCTATAGTTGCTTCACCCGCATGACCACTTCATCTCGACTAATTACGATAATTTGAACGATCGAGTCGTCATGGGGTCTTGTCGATGTACCAATTTCGCGTTGCATGAATAGTGCTTATTGCCAGCATTCAGTGAAAACCATTCCGCAGCAAGCTAAGACCGATGTCAGTGACAGTTGCATAGAGGTAAAAGCGTTGTCCTTGTCAATTGTGAACTGCGTGCTTCAAAGTCTCAAACTTGATACCTTTACCCTTTAGGATGCCTGATCAGCTACATAAAACGAGGGGTGACTATATATATTCTGCTCTGAGAATCTAAATTGCGTGAGTAAGAAATGTAAGAAACACTATGGGGAAATTTTCTTAATTCCAAGTGAAAGTACTCTGGGACTCATGTCCGAGCACATATACCATTCAAATGTTGAGTGTCGAGTACCGCTTACGATCATTAAATTGGGGCTATCCGGGCAGACAGACGTTTTCCAGTATTGCCATTGTGGCCAAAAAAAATTGTCTATCGAATGGATTCCCATTCGTTGAAGAGCTTCACCCTCAATTGAGGCTACCTGAGCAGACATTTTCTAGCTTTGCCACTGTGGCCAAAATAAAAAGTGCATGGAGTGGATTCCCGTTCGTTGAATAACTTCACCCTCCACATGGAACTCAGGAATTGAAGCTCCGGGCAACGAAAATAGTCCAGCAGTTGAATCCAAATGGTCAACCAGGTCGCTGCCGCTCGGTCTGGCGAAGGGGATTCTTAGAGGCGCCCGAGCACTCTTTTTTCATTTGTCGCATTTTGCTAGTTCCTATTCGGTTCTTTACTTTTTGCCTCGTACTTTTGGGGTTGGTGATCCCACGTCATGCAGTTGATATTGATGACCGATTGTATGCATGGGCGGCTCGTGATATTGAGCAATAGTGGATCTTCAATGGAGGTAGGAGAGGAAGAAGGTAGAAAGGAGAAAGGAGGATGAGTAGGCTTTGACCTGCCCTGCCTCCTTCCATTGACGATCCACTACTGCTCAACATCACGAGCCGTCACTGATCGCATGGAGAATCGAATGGATTGGAGGGGCTTCGTATCATCTGCACCGTACACTCCCGATAGGTCCACTGCCGACTTATTTCGGAGAAAGGTGGAAGGTCTTTTTTATATATCCTAGTTGAGGTAAGACCGATGCGATACTGTATATGGATGGTATTCGTAGACGCCCTAATGTACCGGAAAATGCCTCTGAATGCGTGCGAGAGTAAAGTCGCCGCTGGTAGTTACCCGAGAAAGGAAAGCTAATAAATTCTCGAGAGGATCGTGTTGCCTTGTAACCTAGAAAGACCAGAACCATTGCACTCCTCCTCCACCCTTTATCCATCCATTTCTGGCATATTTACTGGAAGTGAGTGCGATCGCGTCAGTCTAATAACCGACACGAGGCCGAAGGTCCAACCCGCTCGAGTTTCAGAGTTTCTACGTTCGTTTCGCCCGAGCCCAACCAGAATCGATCTCTTTTATGGTGAATTTAGACAGCTGAGTTCATTAACGATTCAGCTTTTATTCATCTTGCGCGAGTGGAACACCGCGAATAAGCTCTGCCCAAATCCCAATTCATTATTAATTGCTCGTGCATTTTCCCCCTCGTTATTACTCGGAGCCGCGAAAATGCTTGGATTGCGCGCTGTACGGCTTCTTCCTCGGGGTCGAAAAGCATTTCTGGGCTTCGTCGAGACTCGAGGACGAAGCCCATGAAGACCCTCGATTGGCGAAATCCAAGTTTCACTCGATGGGAATGTCCGCCTTAGGAGCCTTATCTAAAAGCATTCCATTGTCTTTTTTTTTTTTGCTCTCTCGGTCGAATGGGAAAGAACGACGGAATGGGAAGGAATGACGGAAGATGGACGAACGCGATTAATCTCGATGACGGTAACCGCCCATTAATTATTTATCGGAATGTGAGCGATGTCATTCCTGAAGGCCATAATGAATAGATGGTTCCTTTCGTATGAAAACGGGCAAGGGAATGATTGCTCGAAAAGGCATTTTTTACGCAGCAGACGATGGCATGAAACATCTTTTTTTATATATATAATAATACTATGTTTTTTGTAAGTTATATGGGTTGCTGGGGTGTTAGTATGAAACCATCGGTTTCTGGCAAAATCCAAACATAAGAGCTAATCGGTATCGGAGGACTAGGACTTGCTCGAGTGTTTCCTCGCATTTAGTGCGAGGAAAATTTCCGCAAACTGCACCCGTGCAGAAAGACTTGAATGCTAGCAATAAGTACGAATTTCGCACGTACCTTTATACGCATGAATTTATTTACGACAGTTTTTTTTTCTTTGCACGGAATGCCACCACTAAGGCTTTCGCTGCGGAAAACGAAAAGAAAGTGGAATTTCTCATGTTTGAAACAAGAGGGGAAAATCGACTTTGTACAACGTGGAGCCATCTGTCGAGGGAATCCTGCGTCTCAGGATTTCTCTTAGAGTCTCTAAGACAGAGTCTAATTTTCCTCGTTTTTCACCAGTACGACAGCCGGCGAGAATGGAATCATGAACGACAAGAGATGAGAGAGAATGCGCTCTCTGGGCTCCCTGTCCGGGCAGGGAGCCCATTCGGTCGCTCCTTGCGTCAGCCGGGCGCTCGCATCATCTAATCCTGCATTTTTAATGCATTTTGAAATCGATGGAATTCGTACGACGAAGTAGAAACCGAGTCAGTCTCATTCCGTCGGGATCGTGGCCAGTTTTTCACGATTAAGGCCCTTCCGGCTCGTCTCGGGTCTTCGCTTGGGCGTGGTTCTCTTCTGACATCTGGCAAGAGGATGAATGTTGCGATGAGGGCCGAGTCGATCCGGTGTCGACGAACCGGATGATTCGGGCTATTTTTGCCGGGATATTACGGGGTTTTGCGGGTACCCTCCCATCCGTGCAGAGCGAAGTATCGAGCCGAATCTGGGCCCTGAAATGAAGGGGCAGACATATTGAACAGATGGAGCATGCGCTTTAGAGGAAGGGGAAGCGTTACAATGAAGTGTCATTCCTCCATTTCCGATTGCTGGAATGAAAAGATATGGTTCCGTGCCCGTGAGAGAAGCCGAGAAGGGGGAAGGGGGGGGGGGGGGGGGGGGGGGGTAACGTACTAGAGCAGACGAGATGAAGGGAAGGAGGGGAGGGATCCTGTCTCCCCCTTCAATCTATTCCCCGGCACAGTTATCGATCCCTCCTCCCTCCTCCCCTCCGCCAGATCCGAAGGGAGCGTGCTCGACCTCCTTCCTCCCGACATCCATGCCACTCCTAAGGGAGGAGGAGGAGATGGTGGAGTTGACGCATCTGGACGTGCTCGTCGTCGATGAAAGACACGGAGCCGAACGCCGTGCAGTGCGGAGAGCGTGAGGGGGATGTGGGAGAGCGTGGAGGGAAAGGCGGAGGGTGTGAAGGTGCCGTGTGCGAGGTGCAAGCATGCCGCCACGTGGTACGACGGCGCCGTCTATCTCCTCGGCGGACGCAACAACAACAATCTCCCCCTCAAGGACCTCTGGACTTACAACCTTGGTAAAAGTTTGCTTCCTTGAGTTTCTTTTCTTCTTCTCTTTATTCCCCCTGTCCGAGATTCATCATTCTCAAGTTCTGCGGAGGTCCTTTTTTTCCAGGAACGATAATTCCTAGCTCACTTATTTAAAGTCATTTTCATTCCTCTTAGCATTTAGTTACTGTCTTGGCCTTCTATTCTGAGATCTTCCAGGAAAAAAAAAAATTATGCTTCCCGTTTGCATCCTTCCTTTTGCTAACTGTCTGAGAGCCAGAGAGTAACGAAACGGAAGTCATTTCCGCAGAGTGGGCTTGCCTCGTGTAATCCAATTGCATCCAATATAAGGTTAATCTTACGCCTTTCCTAGTGCTATAGGTCTTTCCCGTCGGTCGCAATTGCCAATATTATGGAGGCGCCACCGAGTTCGTCCCAGATTCTCGAGACCCATCTTTCCCCTTTTTTTTCCCCCACAGATAAGAAGGAATGGAAGGAGTTAGTGGGAGAGGGGGAGGCGCCCGGATGCCTCCAGGAACACAGCCTGGTCGCCTATAAGGGAAGACTTTACGTGTTCGGCGGAGAGGTCGGCTTCTCCTCCTCAGACGAGACCCCGCTCTGGTCCTACGACATCAAGGCAAGCGGAAGCAAACTCTACGAAGGGGTTTGGGAGAAGGGGGGAAGGTCGTGGACCTCGCATGCCGGCCGGCCTCTTATTTTCGCCGATATTTGAAGTAGAATTTCGTGCACGGTCAACCCTCAATTTAACGCCACTGTTGATCATCGCCGATTTTGGTGCCTTATTGCGGGTGGCGCTATATCGAATGAACAACAGCATACTAGTAGCTTCGATATCGAACTCTCCGAAGGTTAAATTGACTAAATAAATGTGAAACTTATGTTGTCCCCCCCCCCCTTCCCCCACCCGATACTCCACACTCTTCCTATGCAATATCCATTCCACGGAAGTGAGTCACCTCTCACGGTCTCGCTATCTTTTCCGCAATCGGGTGGACTCGGCAACAAATATTTGACAGCGTACATACTGGACAAGGATTGCGGCAGGCATGCTACCACGCAAAATCAAAGAGGGGTTTCCTTGGAAAAAGAGAAAAGATGAAACGTTCGGGTCAGTAAATAATGGTGTTGGCGGATCGCGGATTGCGAGGGGAGACGCTGTGACGGGAACGATCTCATGGGGAAGATTTATTCTCCGGAAAGAGCTAACGGTGTGTCGAGGCTTCTCTATATCATTTCTCGGTGAGAAGTTTTTTTGCCGATAGTGCCTCGATGTTACGGCCGGATCCTCTCCGCAGACCTTGGTTGTATGGAAGCCTTTACTCTCGCGCTTTCGATCTCCTGACATTTTAGGACCCCTTGGGAAATGTCGCCAGCTGGAATTCGACACGCTTCTCACGATTGTTCGTGCCTTTTCTTCACGTCTCGATGCGGAAGAGAGAGGGACATGGATGGGGTTAGCTTGCACTGGCGGCTTTTGTGTTTCATTCAACGATTGAAGAGCATACAGCTGTGTTTCCATTGTCCCCCACTCATGAAGCCTAAAGGAAGAACCGAGACAAAAAAGAAATTTCCCACGGGCTCTTGACGTTTGTGGAGGCAAAAAAAAAAATAAAGCATGAAACTAAGAGTTTGTGCAGGGGAGAATATGGGTCTGACGTTGAGGCGTGTCATGCGTAACAAAATTACCCAGGTGAGGCAATCCAGCTTAATGGAACGCTCATGACTTTTTGTGCTCCGTTCGTGTAAGAAACTCCATCCATTTAGATGTCCTTACTGGTAATTGAAGTGGTAACCAAAAAAATGAAGCAAAAATACGTAGACTTAGTTGTATATAACTGCTTAGTCGTCGCAACTACTGATGCCTGTCTTTTCCATCCCCATTGAGACTAAAAAATGGCGATGCCATACCATCAACGGTCGATCTCCGGCGATCTCTTGTCAATCATGCTCGGGGGACAAAGAGAGAGAGAGAGAGAGAGAGAAGGTCATATGAGGGATTGGTCAGGGTCCATCTATCTTCATCGATGTCGAGACAGAGAGAAAGGAAAGAGAAAGGGAATGGAAGAGAGGGAATGGCAAGATTCAATCAAGGAATGTCGTGTGTGGCTGTGAGGCCGAGGGCATTTGCTTTAAAATAGGTCTTGTCTAACTCGTCCTTCAAAGACAGAGGACGGCCGCGTCTTTTCGTTTGTTTTTCATTCGACGAATCCAACCCCATTGGTTATTTTCTGCCCGGGAGAAATACTTTTCTGGAAATCTCCTCAGAGTTCTTATGCTGCATCGGAAATTGAATTGCCGCCTGGAGTCATTTCATGTGATTGTGCATGCCGTGGCTGCGGTAATGCTCGATATTATTTATGAAGGGGAAGGGGGGGGGGGATGCCGACACGAAGCTTCGCTCCATAACATAATGGATGATTGAATGATGTGCAGTGTGCTCGATGGAGGAAGCACAGCGGGAGGCAAGGGAAGAAGGGATCGGGGAAAGGGAAGGGAAAAGCGGAAAGGAGGCCCACGGGAAGGAGAGGACACACGGCAAACGTCTACGACAAGGCCATGTACATCTGCGGAGGGTACCAGGACCTCCGGGGATCTTCCATGGATATCTGGAGATACCTATTCGGTCTGCTGCTTTTTCTTCTTTCCGTTTCCCAGTTTTCTCTTCCATCGTTTTTCCCATCGATCCCCGCTGGGAAATGTTTCCAAGTGTTTTCTTTTTCAACTTTCATGACCCACTCAGGGTGAATGCTCCACCCTGTCTCGCCAACCTACGCTTCTATTGATTTCCTTCTCCCTGAGAAAATGGATGGGAGGGGCATCCCTCTTCTTGTGGGGCAATGCATGCGAATAAGTAATTACAATCGGCGCTCGATATTACGAACTCGAAGGGACAGGCTAAAAATGATTCGTTATAAGGAAAATTCGTCATATAGAGGTTCGTCTTTCGATATAACGTATTCGAAGGGATTGGCTAAAAAAAAGTTCGCTTTAAGGAAAATTCGTTATATCGAGCGTCGACTGTATCTTTGGTTAGCTGTATGAGGTGCATGGTACTCATATCGTGTCCAATGGTTTCAGAGTTCATAAACGTATTTGCAATGCATTTGTTGTGTTCCATAGAGGAGGATCGTTGGGAGGAGGTACTGGTGACTAAGGGGGAGGCTGCCACAGCACCTTCTCCCCGACACAGTCACACCGCCGTGGTCTACGACTCCTACCTCTGGATCCTCGGAGGAATGACCAACCTCGTTGAGAAGGATGACCTGTGGAAGCTGGACCTCAGTATGTCCTCCATCAGTGGGTGTAAAAGTAACCATAAAGACTCTTTCACTTTTTTTCTGGAATAGGACAGTCCTTACTTTCATGCACCTTTTGCATTGTCACAACCCAAGGAAAGCTGCAACTTTCATTGGTATACTTATTGGACATCAAGGATGAAGCAGCATATGAAATGGTTAAACACAAAGAGATTATGCTGTGCTCCATAGGCTATAATGCAGGATGAATGTATTTTGTAACCAGCAGGAAGCACCATTTTCCAGCTTAGTCTTGCTCCTGGAATGTGTACTATTAGTAAGCCCACATAATCTCTGTTATGGTGTCATCTCTTTTTCATTTTTACTTGTTACACACCCTAATTTATATATTTTGTAATCTCTCAGAGCCTCTGTATCAAGGAAAAATTTGAGCATTTATCTTCATCTTATTGCAAAACTTGCACCAAGACATTATTGTATTCTGGAGAATGAAGCTATTGAAAAGGAATAACTTTTTTTGAATCACCCAGTAGAACAATATCTGTCTCAATAAGCTGTCACTACAGACAGGTTGAGCATGATGGCAAGTGAGTGGCATGCCATTCCTTATCTACAGCTTGCATGAGGTGGAGCCAGGTGAAAGGAAAGACAGGACCAGGTCCTTTGCATTCCCATTCCGCCATCAAGGTCCTCTCCTCCATGCTTGTCTACGGGGGCATCCGACTTGGACAACCGTCTTCCGAGCTCTGGGCCTTCCACTTTGGTATCTTTTCCTTTCTTATTTCTGTCTCTACCATACTTTATCAATTAGTGTGGTTTTGTAGAAAAGAGGTTCATTGCTGCAGTGCCAGTCAGAAAATATTACTTTTGAGTCAGTGGATGTCAGGGATGTATAAAGTAATTGCAGCATAATGTAGCACATGAATGTCAGTGTAATGTAAATAATTTAGCAGTGTAATGGAATGAATTCTTGATCCTTGTATGTAGTGTCACCTGACATTCCTGATGCAGGCTTTAACATAATACTTGCAGATGTTTTATGAGTTGAAGGTCTGAAAGGAAATCTGCTCCATCTGCGAAATTTCTTTTTTCAACCTCCAAAGAGAAAGGATGAACATTTTTGTGAATGTCTCCTTAAAAGTGGGGGAAAGTAATAAATATAGATTGATCATTTTTCACAAACTACTATCTTCAACAAAATGGAAAAGGATCCACATGTGACCACACCATCCACATCTGAAACATTTCTGCTGATAGACCACTTTTTCTTTCAGCCCTTCAACTAGTCCCCTTGATTAAGTTATCACTTGACATTGACTAAATCAATGACACTCTTTGAGCTAGAATTTCAATTAAAGCAGTTAAGGTGTGATGAGTCACAAATCATAAATCTTGACTTGGTTGACTGTTTATGATTTCTGTAATTACCACAAATCGGTGTGAATCAAGTATTGTCTCCCATAAACTTTATTCTCCATTACATAAGGACATCTTCTTGCTTCTGAAATACTTTTTGCTGTGTTCCATCTTACTATGGCATGTTTAACCTTGGAAGTATATGGAGTGTTTGCTGATTATTGATGTTACCTGAAGAAAGAATTTATCTTCTTATTATGGCAAGCATTGTTTAATGTAGTAACTTGTAGCAGTACCCACTGTAAGAGAACATGGCATTAAAATTGCTGTGAAGCATTCTGTTATAATAATATTTTTGAAAATCTGGCAACATACCATAATATAATGCAGAAGCTAGTGTGATTCAACCCTGATGGAAATGTCTCATTCAATATGATGTTCAAAAAAAGTCAGAAAATGAGGAAAAATTCCATTGCAGTCACTTATGAATTCATGGAACTGTTTCAGAACTTTTAGAAAGCCTCTCTGAAGCATTCAAAAGTTGCAGGCAGTATGAGCCTTCATACATACATATTCAGATCCCACTCTGTATCGTGCATTCACCACACTCCATTTGAAAAAGTTTAGTGGAAGGAATGAAAACTGAATCAAACTGATTTAACAGATTTGTTCAAACAAACTAATAATAAATAAAGTATTGTAGTCATTGCTTCATTAGGCTTTGATGTTTGGGTAACACTGACATGTTGGCAGATGAAAGCAAATTTTGTAGTGTTTTGCACAGGTTTCATGAATATGTTTGAATGTCTCAGCACTCATGAATAGGATCAATTCTACCCCCATCTTTAGTACTGGAATGGGGTTGAATGCATTGAATGAGGCATTCCACCTAATTGGGTATTTTTTCTGGAGCTTGTGTTGAAGTGGATTATTTCAAAGAGTGCAGATGCATACTTCTACATTTGACAAGGTACTCAGTGTGTACTCAGGCATCACAGATGCTTTTGCTTCGGTGCAGGAACGGAGACATGGGACCGGATTCACCCTGGGGGTGATGAGAAGCCGTTGCCTCGTTCCCATGCAACTGTGATTTTCCCATACACTTCAACCTCAGATGAGGGTCGAGAGGTCGTTGGCTATGATCCAGATCTTGCCAATGTCACTGCCATCTTTGACACTTACAACAAGGACCTTCAACCAGTGGAACACTTTGTTCACACTCACTGCAAACACCGTGAGCCTGCAGGGCAGGCACGGCTCTACATGTTTCATAACCAAAGTCTCTCTTTGGAGGAGAATGAAGAAGATGAAGAGGACAACGAAGAAGATCGGTGGTATCGGGACTTCAAGGCGAAACGAATGGATGGGGCAACAGGGAAGCGAGTTTCCCGGGTGGAAAGCTTCTCTTCGGCGAGTCAGAACCTCCGCTTCTTCAAGGACCTCTCACGGATCTCCCAGATGAGCCTGTCACGCATCACGGCCGACCGAAGTTACTCTGCCCTGGGTGATGAAGATGGGGATCAGCTCAGCCTCACCAGCTCCCTTATGAGCAAATCCATCAGTATGAATGGATTTGCATCTTGGAGGCGGAGCTTACCCCATGAACCTAACTCTGTCCCCAGTCTCTCGGATATTGTGGGCCAAATGGGGACAAAAGGGGCTCCACGGGAACCCAGTCTCAGTCTCTATTCTCCAACTGAGTCTTATAATTCTCACCAGCATGTCCCCATAGCTGGTTATACAGTCCGCAATGGACAGCCGACTCAGCTGATCAATGTGGAGCCATGCATGACACAGACCTCATTCGAACAGTTCACCCAGATGAAGCCAGCCAGGACTGATATGGTGAAACATGGAAACAATGAAGATGGATTTCTCATTGACCTGGATATCCTGCGACGTGAGGAACCCACTTCTGACTATGCCAGCGTGGAGACAGACAGCGATCGCAGTAATACTTTCGGCTTTGACAATCCAAATTACATTGGACCTGAATCGTCTGTGTTCTACCGCCGTCGAAGACAGAATGCAGAAGGGGAAAACCGGACATCCCGTCCCCGCAATGGTGCATGTGCATCTGTATCATCCTCTGTGAGACGTGCTCCCCATGCTGAACTGGATGAGTTCACATCCCATCAAAACATCTTTGGTATTGATGCAATGTCACACCATGAGGATGATCTCACATCTCATAATTACTCCATGGAGATGCATGACTTGACGAGCATCACAAGCACAGAGTTAGAGCGGGAGTTGACTCGGATGTACCAGGGGCGACCCGGGACCGGTCCCAGCGATATTCCCATCCAGACATCCCCCCACACATTCTCCAGCTCCAAGATGACACCACTGCCTATAATGGAGCCAACAGTGGTGTATGTCATTGGAGGCAAGGACACTGGTCAGGTGGTTGCCTTCAGACGCCCCATTGCGTTGTGGAAACTTGATCTCACCAAGTGTCTCCTCTGATGATGTGATCTGGTCATGTGACTTGATTGAGTGCTTCTAATGATTCAATTGGTTATGGGACTTCACTTTGCATCCCCAGTCTACCAAGATTTCATCCCTGATTGTTCTGGCAGCAAATGGAGCCATCCATGTTATCTATTGTCCAGGCAGCAAATGGAATCATCCATGTTATCCCTGAAAGTTGAAGAGGTCAGGTCACCAAGTTATGAAGAGACTATGGGAGATCCAAGAGGGTACTGATGTCCAGGTGCCACATAGGTTACTCGCTGACACTGTCATGTTTATGAGGACAGTTGATAGAAATCATTAACCAAAAAGAAATCCAATTTCACAGATGAAAGGATGCTCATCATGTGATCTTGTTTATATGGTGAAGTGTTGGTCCCGACCTACCACCTAATGCTGGTGACTATAATTTCCTCATCCTATGTGATGATTGTTGGGGATGGTCAGAAATCCAGCCGATTTTTTATAACTACATGGAATCTGAATCTCAATTTTTTCTCAATCTTAATATTCAGCCCAAATGAATAAGACACAACTAAAGTGACCAATTGAAACTCAGCCAAAGAATCTCTTCCTTCATACTTGAAGCTTTCATTGATGAAGTCATTCATGCTTTCTCACCTATCTCCTTCTGTTTGAATATGTTCTCCTTCTCTTATGTAAAGGATGCTGAGATGTGAATGTATCCTCAGTACTTAAGTGGAACACTTTGGTTGTCAAATATGCTATGAGAGAGGACTTTGAGTATCCTATAGTCTGTAGATGTAGTCTTCCAGGTTTGGTGAGACAGTAAGAGGGAGAGCATACAAAATAACCCATTTGTTTCATGATATCTTACGCTATTAAATTCAAAAGGATGAAGGATTCATTGCCGTCCAATTTCCATTTGGTGTCACCTGTCCAATAATTCTTATTCTTTTATTTAAATCCACAACTGCTCAAAAGTGACGCATATGATGATATTCTCTTCCCATGATACCGGTATACCCATTCCAGTATGGCCAGTCTCTCTTGTGTCTATCTGTCTCTGTGGGTTTTCCATCTCCTCATGAATTGGGGTGAGTCTGGATCCAATTCTTCCACATACCAAAGGTCGTTCCCAGATAAGATATTTTTTGGAATGCATTTTGATTGATATTTTTATTTTGAATGTTTTGTGAACTAAGGACTTACAGACATTCCTTCTTCTGATGCTGGGAATCAGATTTTGCTTTTCAAAATTTTAAGTACATGGAATCTGTAATTGAATTTCAATAATGAGATTAAGGGCTATAAGTTCATAACAAAGGTGGACTCTCACTTTTTTATTCTCCTGGGTCAAGTTAGCATATTTGCAGCTAAAAACATTGAGCCCACTTGTTGAAATCCAATTTTTTACATTTATGTATTGCAATAGGCATTCAATGCCTATTATTGCTGTTGGACCTCATCTGTACCTTATGATTATGTTTTGGTTTCAATGCATATGCAAGACCGACTGCAGGAGTCTTCCCATCAAGCGCCCTTGGATAGTTCCTTTGTGACTCATGTTAATTTTTTCGAAAAAATTGTGGTACTCTATTACCCTCTGCTTTCCCAATTTTCAAAACAGGAATTCTGATTGTAAGTATTGACCTTATGTTGATTATAGTCATTCAATTTTAATGCAGCGCTTTTTAGGGCAGCTAAATGGATCAGCAAATTGCTATTCATGATTGAATTTGCACTGTTCAGCAACCCATGTGCCTATTGTCTGCTTTCGCAACAGTTGTTTTCCATTTATTTTTCCCATAGTAACCTTTCTAAAATATGACTCAAAGCCCACAGCTGCCAGCGTGCTGCCACCCTTTGAAGGGAAAGTATCAAATAATTTAATAGTCCATCATTCCAGTTTTAAATAATTTTTCCACTTGAGTTATGACTCCTCAAATTACAAGTAAAATAAATGACTCATCTAAAATCGATGTAAGAATCCTTAGAAGAGGGTAAAAGGAGAACCCAGGCAGAAGTTCTTGAGCCTACAGTTCAATGAGCCTTCATCAAGGACGGAGAAGAGAGCCATGACAGCGCCAGAAAAAGAATGCAAGCTAATGAATAATTTTTTTAAATACCATAAGTAAAACTAACATAAAATAAAATAAGGTAATGATAAAAATCTGCCAAGAAGTGCATGAATAATACTGTACATGCAAAGCACATTTCGATTCTGAATTTGAGCTGATGGGTGATCTCATGGAGCAAGGCTCAAGGCGCACACCCTCGTAGGCAAGACACTAGGGAATTGCTTCATATTCAGACTCAGAACAGACTCGCCTAAGGGCACGAATCTCATCATCCACTTTCTTTTGGTAATCTAATTTTCTATTCATTTTCTGCTTTTTAGCTGAGTTTTCTTTTTCTTACTGTTCTTGAAGTTCTGTCGCTTCCAGACAGAGGCTAATTGCACTGGAACTCGGGAATTCCTGCCTTTTTTTTGTTTTTCCCTTCTGACAGTTCTTTTGTCATTATGAAAATGTCCCACATTTATACCTCGGGCATCCTCGTCTGTATCAAATAATTCTCCATTCCTTTACGTTTAATCCAAAGACACCGATGTGTCATGGTACTGAACTGGTCCCTTACATGATCTAGTGCTTTAGCAGCTTGTACACTTATATCAGTTCCTAAGTAGATTCATATTAGCCCTTGAACAACTACAGTACGCAGTTCTAAATGATCGGGATGCCAGTATTTGCATCAAATGCTTGCACCTTTGTAACGTTGAACAAGCAAGGAGCCATCTTGCGTTTTCACTTTCTTTAATATATATTATTAAAATAATACTAAAAATTATCTAGTCACTATTGGAGGAGGCATTCACATTTTTAAATTTCTTTCCTTGATTAGTGTTTCAGTGTTTCCTTTTACTACCTTCTGTAGATTTTTTATTGACTCTCTGCTTATGGTTGTCAATGAAATATCTTTCAGAAAGAAGGGAATCCATTTTGTCTCTTTTCTTTCCCCCCATTTCGTCCACAATCGTCGTGGACAGTGAGGAAACAACTGGTTTGATCGATAAAAATAAGATAAACACTATTATCCTCACATCTTGATGAATGGGGGCTTCTCACGGGTCCTTTTTGGCGTTATTGCTTCCAATCAAATCTCCCCCAGAATATTTCGATTTCTGACTGATCCCACATAAGTCATAGGGCCGATAAGACGAGTATGGGAATATGTTTGAGGAATGGTCGCTTGTCAGTCTTTTCAGACCGCGGCGCTCGGGAAACATAAAGGCGACTGACTTCCGTCCGTACCCTTTCCCCGAAAATACACGTTTTGTCGAAGGAACCAAGTTATCCATGCTATGATTGATCGAAGCGACCGTTTGCTCGAGGAATGCTTTCGCCGATGTCTCACTGGGCCGTGTTCTTTTTTTTTTTTACGTGACAGCACTTCATGAATTTTCCCGAAACGTCAACCGAAAAAGTCTGCACCCCCACATCTTTCAATTGCAGAGCGGTAAACGAGAGGCTAACCAGGCTGGGTTCATTGACCGAATGGTTGGATTGTAAGGCCAAGTTCGCAATTCGGGCAGTTCTTCGACCTACAGTATATACAGGGTGGACCATAAATATTCATACCAAATCAAACTATTGTGTTTCCTGTACTTTCTCATTGATCAACAGAATCTCAAATGAAACACCAAGGGTCACAACAATTATTCGCAAGATATTTTCGATGTGTCCCTTCTTCTATATGTATCCCTTCTTCTTAACAGCAACCCCAATCGTCGAGTCTGCTATTCAATTAAACTGGACGGACATAGTTCCACTCCCTTCAGCTTCCATCAGCACGAGCCTTAATCGATTCGGGCAGCTTAATTTCATATTCGGATACCTACTTTCAACAGACTCCACACACAGTTATCTATTGGATTCCAATCAGAGTCGTAATGGGGCCATTTATGTTTGTTGATAATTTCTGCTACATGGTTTGGTAGACAAGTTCATTGGAATTAAGCCATGTGACTTAAAGAAGGAGTTCTGTTGAAGTACACGCGATTGACCACTAAAGATACGCTGACATACAGATATCACATCTTTTTCCTTTGCACAGTACTTTATATTTCCGCGTGCTTTGGACATGCGGAAATATAAAAGTTATATGTTGTATGAATATTTATAGCCCATCCTGTAGTGGAAAGTTCCTGGAATCTTCTAAGATTGTGAAAAGGCAGTAGACGACTGTTCCCTGAGGATTTTATTTTTCTTTCTTGTCACCTCACCGTCTTTCCCCCCAGGGAAACGGCAAATGACGTCAAATTTTGATGCTGGAGTTCTATCATCAATTCATCGGTTTATTGACTCGCATTCATTTTTCATGCTTTACGATTGTAAATCTAATGCAAAAAAAAAGCAACTCCCCCCTTTTTTTGTCTGACGTTTCGAAAAGAAAGCCCGCTCTGCCGCAAGACATTTCCACAAAATGGGTTTTGGATATTTTTGGATATATGGGGTAAGCCATTGCATCCCCGAGGTTGACGGATTTTTTCCATTTCCTTCCTTCATTCCGAAGAAAACAATGACACTGCCCACTCGTGAGGGCCGCGAAGTGCAAGACCGTCTCACAACGGGGACGAAGGGACACCTTTGGAAGACTCATTTCGGCGTCGATCGAACACGAAGGTTGCAGACCCGCGCGTCTCACTCTCGACAACTGCTTCTTATTTTTTTTTTCTCTTGAGTTGCGGAGACCGAGGACCCTTTAAATATCTGAAACATGAACAATCCCCCCCCCCCCTCAAAAAATAATAATTTTCGACTCGGAATCATCTACTAATTAATTGTAGGGCTTGTCCGCTGTCAAAATGTCACCTCAATGCATAAACGGATGTTTCTAGTAGTTTTCAGTCAGAGGCAGAAAATGTGTTTCCTCAAGATTTCTTATTGAAAGTAAATGTTAAGTCTAACTGGGCACATCGTGGTCGAAAGTGTGTTGCTAAGTATTCATCTGCCATTACACAACCACGAACACCATTCTGCGACAACGTTTGTCTGTTATCTTGTCTTGAAAGCTGTAAGGTGCCGAAGAATCGCACCCATGCACATGGGATTGCCCGACCCAGTTGACATCAGCAG